TTTCTGAGCGGCTGTGTAATGGACGAATAATAAAGGGACGTCTGCAGTCAGCAGATTGTTGCTCAGGAGTCACGATCGGATCAAAGGGCCGAGCGATTTTGCTTGTTATGGGGGGACAGCTGAGGAGACAAGACGAGGAGGAAGCCGAGGTTGGAATCAAACCAAAATCTGCTGTGACAAGGACGACAGCCTTTGTATAGAGTATGTGGCGCACATGTTAATCCACTGAGTTATACAAGAGTTTCAGAAATCTAATAAGGCAGAGTAATAACACACACCTGTGGAGGTCATTGGGTTCTTAATCTGAAGTGAGTTTAAGGCCACAAAGTTCTGAAGGTCCAATCCGTTGGTGTTTATATGCGCTGATGATGGACACCAGATCAAAATCTGATTCATCACACTACAAGATACTTCTCTGTCCATCTTAATTAAACTGGAAAGTCCAATTAAGAGGGAAGTCTCCAACATTTCTGGGTAACGTTTGGTAACACTGTACAATAACCATAACTCATAAATGGCAAATAGACCATTTATACATGGTTAGCAGATAGTTTATTTATGTTTAATCATCATTTATAAATAGCATATAGACCATTAATAAACTGTGAATTTTACAATTTTAAAAACCTAACCCTAACCTTAACTTTACAATAACTATCTAAGTAATATTAATAGGGGGTTTATAAACCACTTATTAATCATTTACAAAGTGCTACTGACACGTTTTAATCTAGATGTTTTACAAGCAAATGTTTACTAAATAGTCCGTTGATAATTAATGAAAATTATTAATCATAAATTCATTGCTTGTTAATGGTAAAGTAACCATTAATTTACATTAATAAACTATCTGTTTGCCATTTACAATTGGTCTATATGCTGTTTTTAAATGATGATTAAACATTAATAAACTATTTACCGTATGTGTATGTAAGTAAGTATGTGTCCATGATTTCCAAATAGCATTGACCAGAGAACAGGTCAACGCTTCCCCTCGGGCTGAGAGAAGTCCCCGGTGTTTTTGGATCATGATTATATAAGAATGTCAAACACTATTATTAGTTTACAGGAGAGTTTCTTACGTCTCCCTAGTCTCTCCATTCCTTAGTCCATCTTTAAAGGACCTGGACCAGGAGAAGTCTCTGTTTCTGGGTCATGGTTCTCTCCTTGCATGGTACACTTTCAGCCTGACTTGTGGATGCAGGAACAAAATGAACTCTCATTGTTTCTGGAAGTAGTTTGGATCCCATGCGGTGATTTCCACTCCAGAGTCAGGCCTCTTTTTTTTTTTTTTATAGAGGGACTTATGGACACAATCAGAAATGTTCTCTTTAAGTAACATTTTACAACTTTCTGAATGTTTTGTTGCTCCTGTCCCAACTTTTTTTTTTTAAATATTACTGTTACCAAAATTAAAATGAGGATAAACTTTTGACATTTTTTTGGAATTATAACATTTGATATATTGATCAAAATATGTTTCTATCTAATGTTTTTAATAGCATTAATTGACAATGCTGTTTAAACCAGTCTCTGATTTTATTCCGTAACCTTACCCTGCTGTTTGTTGCCTTTAATAATCAACCTGCAGCTGCTTTGCATGTTTTCCAAACTGTTGTAATTGATGAATTAGGGTCGTGGAAGTGTTGCATGATCATTAGATGAGTACGGATTTTACCCTTTACCTGTGTTTAGATCGGCTTGAAAGGGAGGGACACAAAACTGCCTTAACCAGCTTCTCAGTTTGCAGTAAGTCGGATAATTGTATTTAAATTCACCAAGAAAGAAACGAGTAAAAATAGAATAATTCACTTCATCGTTTTTTCCTAATCGGTTTGACAGGTGGCAAATATTTGCAGAGTGAATTTCCTAATGTGTCCTTTCTTATCAGGAACAAAGCGAGACGGCCTCTTCTCAATTTGGGGCAAACACTGCGGCAGAACGGAGACAAAAGAGATGCTTAAACCCTGGCGGTCTGAGGGGGATATCTTCACCTCTCTTCAGAGAGTCTCTAATTGATACACGGGGATTGGCGTGAAGGGCCGGGGACAATAGCCGCATTGTTTCAGCGCGCTCTGAATTGAGATGTCTGTCATCTGCGGTGTCTTTGGCTCGGCTCCAAACTTGAACTTTCTCTTTTGATTTTTTTTTTTTTTTTTTTTTTTTGCTGAAGCTTTTGCATGAAAGGCTTGTCTCTGCCTGAGTGAATCAGCTGTGATATTTTTCAGCAAGTAGAAATGAACACACACAATGAGAAACTATGATCAATTTAACACAGAGGTGTTTATTTTAACTTTGTCTTTCTGTCTGTGTTAGTTTTGGCGCCCCCTCTGGACAAAGTGGTAAGCTGAGATATATCACAGCTGGGTTTTTTTCATTCTTTTAAAACCTTGTTCTGTTGAGACATTTGTGGGAAAAATAAAGTTTGTTTCAGTGCAAAGAAACTCCTGTCTGGATAAAGAAATGCAAAGTTTTATGATAGTTTTTTGTGGATTAGCTTATCGATTTTTGGCATTTAAATGCAGCTATAACAAAAAATATTTACAAAGCACAAACAAAAGAGAAAAAAAGAAAAAGTGACACCGGGCATGCTTAAGGAAATTTCCATTTAGGTTGGAAATACAACAAATAATGTCAAGGGCGAGCATTTTTAAGATACGCTCTTTACCTTGAGACGTATATTTGCTGAATGCATCTGTTTGCTTTGCTGTGTATAAAAGGTGTAAATTTTCAGCCCGTTGTGGTCAATAAAACACATACCATAACTTTTCAATGGCGCTTAATTTTTGGGGTTGATGTCCAAATTGTGAAAGTTATTGTTTCATAGAGACTCCTGATATATTTTAATGTCCAGGTGAGCAAAATCTGGTTGTTCAAATTTGATGTAATTTTTCATTTTAGTTTGACAAGAACAATCAGATGTATGAAAGAGGATTAGGGCTACAAGAAGAAATTAAAACGATTATAATTACAGGAATTATAAAATTATAACTAATTACAGGAAGGAGATTTTTTTCATTTCCATTTCAAGATGAAAGTTAAAATTTTAAAAAATTAAAATTTTGAGTTTAATCTCAAAAGTTAAATTTTTTCAATCTCGAAATATCGACATTATTCACAACATTTTGACTTTTTGTAATCTCGAAATTGAATTTAAACTTTTGATCTTGAAATTACAACTTCATTGACGTAATTTTGATTTTTTAATCTTGAAATTTTGACTTTATTTATGTCGACTTTTATTTTTATTTTTTATTTTTAATCTCGAAATTTTGACATCATTTATGACATTTTGTAATTTGAAATTAATTTGAAAAATATCAACTTTATTGACATAATTTTGATTTTCTAATGTTTAAATTTTGACTTTAATCCTGAAATTTTGACTTTAATCCTGAAATTTCTTCTTTAATCTCCTTCCTGTAATTATTTTATTTCTCTTCATGTGGCCCTAATCCTCTTTCGTACAGATGAAGTGATGAAAACCTTACTTTATGATGAAGCTTATTTCCAAACATATATGTCACTGGAGGAATACATGAAGTTGCATTAAGCTTAAAGGGAGTGATTAAAAGTGAGATTGAAGCCCTCCTGAAAAATAATGCATGACAGTACAATAGAGACCACATGATATTTATTTATAGACACAGTTGAAACTGCCGGTAGCTGTGTGTACTTTATAAAGATTAAAAAAAAGAGACAAAAATAGATACAAAAGCCATTCAATGATTGTCACACTGAATCCTGAGAGAAACCATGACATAGCATATACTTTTTAATATATAGATTTATATATTTATGACATCTGTGTTTCAGTGATACTGTTGTCGGCGCGTCCTGTCGGCTAATATCATTCACCTCTGCTCGAAATCAAACTACGGTCAGTAGAAAACAATGCCTATTAGCATAAATAGCATAAATAATCACAAACTATCTTTATAATTTACAAAAATACAAACTTTTTAAGAGTCCACGTGTATTTACAAGAGCTGTAGTGCTGTGGTTTCAGTCAACATGGAGGGTATAAAAATAAGGCGAGTGGGTTATATTTGTGATGAATCGATCGTTACTGCATTTGGAGCCTGTTTGAACACACACACAGGCCGACCCATTAGAGCGGCGGGGCGCTTTATCTCATGTGATCGTCTATTTGAGGTAACGGCGGTCTTACAAAGGCAACTTTGGCAGACTTAAGCTGATTAGCCGATTCGACATTTAATCAACTGGAATTTGGGCTAGATTTGGCAACACTGGCAAAATATCAGACTTACAATTACAGAAGAAAACATGTCAGAGTGGTGTTGACTCGGGGTCGACTGAGAGAGGATTTTCAGATACAGATTTGTCAGAATTAAAGCTCCTGTGAGGAACTTTCTGTTTTTGTGAATTTTGGCGCCCCCTGTGGACAAAGTAATCTTTACCTTTCTTTTCCTTCTTTTTTTAAACATTGTCTTAATCCTGTTGATTTAAGATGATCAACTGACTTATTGTTTTTACTGTAAAAGGAAATAATAAAAACGGGCTTTTTTTGTATCTGCTTGGCTAACACCTACCCCCGCGCACTGGATTAAAGATTATAACTAAAGATAAATTTGGATTTTTCCATCATAAATGAGCATCAGTATAAATTTTGTTCACAGGAGCTTTAATTTGCAGTTTTAATAAAGAAATTTGAAGATTTGGCGAGTCACAAACTCCAACAAATATTCTATTAAAACTGAAACTTCCTCACATTGTGTACAGGAAGTTTCCAAATTTGTGTTTGACCAAAGGTGCAAACTATTCGGGTATTACTTGAGTGACGTCTAGCCAATCAGATTGTAAGGTCAGTAAAGTCAGAGCCAAAGTAGCGCACTCTTTAGTTAAATTTATCGGCTAAACTGCGAATATCGGCCCCGGCTGATAATCAGTCGACCCCGAGTTTGGACGTCAAGAGGAGAGGGATTTTGCGGTGAACCTGCCAGAATCATCTAGAATAAAACTATGAAAAAAGACACAAGTGTTCAGTAGTTGACTTCCTTTGCACGTGTTTTTAGCGTGAAGACGAAGCTTTAAGATAGTAGTTTAAAAAAAGAGTAAAAGGATAAGTGCTCGTTTTTGTTTCAGGCTGGTGTTTCCACAGCTCGAGTTTCTCCTCAAGTTCAATAACTTACAGACTCTCTCCAGTGAACTGACTGATGACGGGGCGTCTGTGTTTATGATGCAGAGAGAAGCTACCCAGCATGCACCAGGTCAGGCGCCTCTCTCAGATGAAGTCAGCGTTCGTTTTTTTTGTTTCTTGCGTCTCAGACGGATTCACCCGGCCGCAGGTCTTAATAAACCTCGCTCCTATAGCTCGCTCCCCTCTCGCGGGTAAATCAGGCTGTTGACGCTGAAGCTGTTGTAGAAGTGACTGTTGAACTGTCCGCTCTGCCCGCCGCCAAACGTGTTGTAGTACACTCCACGGTTAAAATGCAGACCCTCGCTGTGCTCGGCGGCCCCCGTGTCCTGCCCGCCGTGGTTCAGGTGGTACGGGCTCAAGGCGGTAATGTTCCTGTTTGACAGCTCGTTCACCAGTCCCAGGGACCCCTGCCGGCTGGGGCCCCCTGAACCGAGCGTGGACATGCTGCTGTAAAAATTATTAAAACACGCAGCGCTGGAGGACAGTCCGGGTGGCGAAGACGACGACGAGGAGCCCTTGTGGTTGTCGTTCATGGCCTCCATCTCCGGAGAGGCCGGCCCCAGCAGCTGAGGACTGTCTGCAGGCTTCAGTGAGGCCCCCAGCGCCGGCCTACTGTCCTCCACTTTTGTGGCCCCTGACGCTCCGACTGCTGCGGCTCCTCCTGCGCTGCTGGGGTCTGAGCGTCTTTTTCTTTTCCTGCGGAAATTCCCGTTGTCAAACATCTTTTCACAGTTTGGATCCAAGGTCCAGTAGTTTCCTTTTCCTGTGAGGAACAAAGAAACAAGGAAATGAAATAAAACCAAGAATTTGACTGAAATTTGAATTTATTTTAAATGAAGTTACAGATTATTTTCCATAAAAATCTTCTTAATTTTTCCAAATTTTTTACTCTTTTTGGTCTTTTTAAAAAACAACAAATAAACTCACTGAAAGTCAACTGCAGCGACTTCTGTCTCACGTTTTGAAATGATTATAACGTCTCAAATTTCACAAACTTTTCTGAGCTGACTGTTATTGCGGTCTGGAGCGGTGACTCCAAAGTGGAGCTTGTGAGACACTGTCAAAGGGGTCAAAGGTGACGTCCAAAAAACTCTGCTCATAATTGAACCTGTTTCTTTTACTTAATTATCCTTTTTAAAAAATATTTAAGATTTTACAAACGTGTCATCACTGCTAGTTTCCTGCATCGCCACATGACCCCTGAGGTGATCATGACAGAATAATAACAGCAACATGTGAGCACACAAGTCTCTACTTTTAGGCGTCTTTACTCCAAAAACTCAAAGCAAAGCAATTTTTTTTTGTCTTATTTCTAATAAAATTAAGTCATTATCAGGCTAATTTAAAACTATGCTCACCTGAAAATCTCAAACAGACATCGAATCTAAAATATGAGCAAAAAAAAAAAAAAGAGGTCTGAACCGGTCATGATGAGAGAAAAACGGCCTCTAAGATAAGAAAAATACACTTGTGAAATATCTTAAATTAAGACGTTAAAACTGACATTTAATGTACTTATTATGAGAGATCACTGTTTTATTTTGCATTTGCTGTTTAAGTAAAACGTCTATATGGACTAGTTAGGGATATGACTTCAAACAGACTCACCTTAGATAACGTGTTTTCTACATTGAAGCCCTTTTTTGTATTTATTTTAACTCTAAAATGATTTTTAATTTTTATTTTAATATCCTGTTTATATGTTGATCTAATATCAGTGAAAGTCACAGGCTGAAAAGTTCAGGAGCTCCTGCTTTAAGCTGAGATATATATGAGGATTAAAACAGCATTTTTATTGTACAGTAGCAAGCATGAATAATATTTGAGAGACGACATAATATAGTTAAATATTTCATTGATATATTGGGTATAAAGAAGATTTTCTAATATTAAATATGGAGCCCTTTCACTGCAAAAACCTTAAATTAAGCATGTGTCTTATTTCTGGTAATATACGTCACATGTACCTAGTAAACCAAGATAGATTTCTGTTTTTTGATACATGACGAGCCCAAAAATATGACCTGATTTCTCCAAATAAGGGATAAAACTGCAACTTGGGGGAAAAAAACAAAGTGTTATAGAAATAAAGTTTAAGTTCCTCGTCTTATGTCTTAAAAAATGTCTAAATATAATTTATCGCTCCACTTTTTTTACTGATTGCAAGCAGCTCAGGTCTTAATTTTGGATTTTAGTCCATTAAAATAAAACATTTACCTGGTTTTATAACTAGAAATAAAACAAAGATGTTTGAGTTTTGAGTTTTTGCAGAGTAACTTTATGTCTTTAGAAAACAGATGCAAAACTCTTGCAAAACTCTATGAATCAGCAGTTATTTTTCATGTATTATTATAATGTTTTTATGCTATGCTCATGTTTTAAGGCCTGTTGGTTTTTTTTGCAAAAAGTTTAAAGTGTTGATAAAACTTTTTAACCAAACTTACACTGCAAAAACATACTCAGTCACTGCAACTGACAATTCAACCCCAGTTTAATTTAATATATGTGTTGTGATAAGTCAATATTTAACGTGAAAGTCATCTCGACTGATGAGAGCTTTTACATCGTTAAAAAAGTGATTTAACTGAAACGAGGAGGGATTTATCGAATTAAGAGTTCGCTGTTGAAGATATTTTTATACGTACAGAGTGATTTTATAAAGCTGTGGCCGTCTGTGTCGCGTTATTACGATAAGGTTTGGTTTATGTCCTGCTTGGCCGTGCACTGACGACAAAAACTGAACAATCAAAAGTCAGTTAGTTTGACAAGAAATTTTTATAAATGAACCCAAATAGATCTCAACTTTTTATCCCCAATTAAATCAGATGAACACTTTTTTTTTAAACAAATTAATAAGATTTTTTTATATATATCATTAGTTTTTATGAACAAATATTACAATACATTTTTTTTAAATCAAGTATTTTTTTACAGTGTAAGATCCAATTTAAGAAGGATTTTTTGGAACTTTTACATATTAAGTTCAACTTTTTATCACATATTAATTGAACTGAAACTCTGATGGCAGCCTGGACTCTGTTTTGAGAAGAGGTAACCATCATTTTTTACAGTGTAGGATATCAAGTTTAATAACTTCTGATAAAGTTTATGTGAGTGAAAGAGCTCAACTTGTAATTTTAAAATCAGTCAACTCAGAAATATGAATCACTTTTCTTAATTTCATGCATTATTTTACAGTGTAAGGTCAGGTTTATAATGACTTTTGAGAATTTATTGAGTGTTTGCATTGAAGGTGCGTAAAAAAGTCTCGTTTATTCCCATTATTCATGCTAACAAAAACATTAAATATGCGTAAACTCGTGCGTAAAGTTATAAAATACACGTCTTTGGTGCGTTCACTGTACCTGGATCGTCCTCGTCCCTCGGCACTTTCTTGAAGCAGTCGTTCAGAGACAAGTTGTGCCGGATCGAGTTCTGCCAGCCGGCTTTGCTCTTCTTATAAAAGGGGAAATTGTCAGCCACATACTGGTAGATCTGGCTCAGGGTCAGCTTCTTCTCATGCGCGTTCTGGATGGCCATGGCGATGAGCGCGGAGTAGGAGTAGGGCGGCCGGACCAGCTTCAGCAGCTCCTCCTGGCTGGCGATGGATAACCAGCCCAGGTCTGGCCCTCCGAAGCCAGGTGAGTTCGTTATGAACTGCCGCTGGGAGCCGTAGGAGGGCGGGATGAAGGAGGCCGGGTTGTTTCCGTGCAGGTAGGACGCGGAGGAGTTGACGCCCGGCCCGTTGAGCCACAGGTACGGGTTTGGAGACGATGCGTAATCCCCGATGCCGTACCCCGCGGGTCTCTGCGCGCCCTGCAGGCTCTGCTGGTGGTACATGCTGCTGAAGTTGTCGCAGTACACAGCGGCCATGTCCGGGGCCTCCTGGGCGCCTTTGGGTGGGAGAGATCCGACGGTAGGGGAGGTGTGCTGGTGGTGCTGGTGATGGGACTGGGGGTCGATGGAGTTCATCACTCCCCGCGGGAAATCCCAAAAGAAAGAGCAGATCGGTTCAGGTGTCCTCTCCCTCTCTCTCTCCTTCTCTCTCTCCCTCTCTCTCTCTTTCTCTCTCTCTCTCTCTCTGCGCAGGCAGCAGCAACAAGTGTCAAAGAGGATGGAGCAGAGTGGAGAGTTTTAATAGTATAAACCCTCAACAGCAGCCACATCCAGGAGCGAGAGAACTCCCAGCAGCCAATCCACACAGAGTGAGTAACAGGAGGTGTGGTCATGTCCTCCTCATTCAGATCTCAGTGGGTCACTGGTTCCAAATGTTTCCCCTGGAAAAACCTTTAGGAGAGGCTCAACAGAGAGGCAGATGGACCTGCTTCTTAAAGGGATATTACGTCGTAAAATTGATTTAGGGTCAAACACCAAGTTAGACACCAAGTTAGACGCCCCCTGGAAAGATGAATGTTGCAGACCGCTTGAATCTCTTGTGTTGCTTTGGAAACCAGGTGGTAAACAAAACATCGGCAGACGAAGGAATGATGCAAAAAACTACCGTAAGACCTCTAACACCTTTGTTTGGTACAAATCAGGTCATCCTAGCGAAGAGGAGCGGTAATAAAAGGGGGCGCCACCAACTAAAACGCCTAACTGAACTCCAACCATAGTTTAACTTAAAGGGATATTCCAGTGCAGAATTAATTTAGGGTCAAACACACCGTGACGCCGAGTTAGACACCCCGACCAGAGAGGAATGTTGCCGACCGCTTACTTCTCTAGTTATACCAACTTTAGAAACGACCGCACAATAGCAATACACAGCGGTCCCAGCCATAGTACTAGCCACCAAACATCTTTTTAGCTTTGCCTAATTTCTTTAGCAAAGAGACTAAACACAACTCACCTACTCTCTTCCAGCAGCCGCTTGTTTGTAGCGAGACCTCAGGCCAGTTCATTGCGGACAACAGCGGGGTGCCGCAGCTCAAGGAAGAACATTTATGATCATTTCTCATGGAAATGCAAGATTCTTAAGAATGATATCACGATCCAGCAGACATGAACCTTCTGCACCTCTTTTCTAAATACTCCATCTCACCGATTGACAAACTCAATGTTTTTCACTCTTGTTTGTTTGTCCACAAGTTTATCGATAAGAAACAAAACCTTCCTGAAACTTTCTGAATCTATTTTACCTTTTCATCTGACCTTCACTCGTACTTAACAAGACAAAATGGCCATCTCCAGTTACCTTCCTGTCGAACTTCTAGTCATCATTCTAACATCACTTTTAGAGGACTGAAACTATGGAATAATCTGGATGCATCTCTAAAATCAAATCCTTTAAAATATCATTAAAATCTCATCTAATCATGTCTTAAACACATCATTATTTGTTATGATCATGTTTCTTTCCTTATTTAAACTTATATTGTCTCTGTCACTGTTTGATGATTAGTCTGTGTTCTACTTATGACAGTTTGTATCTGTTTGACCTTTCCCTAATCATTGTATATTTACAACCTGTCTATGTCCGAGTTACTTTGTCGTAGTACTTTGCATGCTGGGGCAGCGGGCTGAGAGTCGCTGACTCCAACAGACTCAATAAACCGTCCGGTGATGTTGTGGAGGTGGAGCTGGACTCCCTGCTGGCCGTGTCAGAGAGGAGGATGCCGTCCAAGCTCCACTCCATACTGGACAATGTCTCCCACCCTCTCCACAGTGAAGGCTCCTCGCTCCACGATGCACCATGGAGCGCCACAGGAAATCTTTCCTGACGGTGGTCATCAGACTTTTTAACTCCTCCCTCAGAGACTCTGACACCCTCAGTCAGTAGTCTTTACCTGGACTCTGCTCACTGTTTTACATGCATACGATGCCACTATTTGTGTTGTTTATAGTGTAAATACTTGTATATTATCTCCATATTTTTACTTATTTTATCCATTTATCTCTATATTTTTACTTTATTTCATTTTTAAAGTATTTCTGATTCTGATTCTGATAACGAAATGATCATAAATGTTCTTCCATGAGCTTCCCCGCTGTAGTCTGTAATGGACTGCCCCGAGGTCTCGCTACAAACAAGCGGCTGCTGGAAGAGAGTAGGTGAGTTTTTTTTGTCTCTTTGATTAAGAAAGAGACAAGAAAGAGAAATGAAGGAAACGGCAGTACCTGTAGTGTCCACCGGAGGCAGACAACCCTGATGGGATTGCCTCATATATTTTAAGTCCCGCTGGTTCTGGGGGGACTTTTTAAACTTGACTTTATCAAGGATAAATTTAGAGTGACCATACGTCCTCTTTTACCCGGACATGTCCTCTTTTTTGGGGACTGTCCGGCTTTGTCCGAGGAAGTTTATAAAATCCTTCAAATGTCCACGGTTTTGTACGCAAGTTTCGATTTTGTGCCATGTGGACTTACTGAGTTAGAAGCGTGTAAAAAACTCTCAAAATGAACTTTGTGCGTCTCTGTGACTCCGTCCCTGTAGCCGTGTCCTCTATTTGGGAAGTCAGAATATGGTCACCCTATATAATTGGGCTTAATTAGGGTCATGGCTGATTGGACTGACAGGTCGCCAAGTTGCAAGACACTAACCTCGGTTTTACCTCTCTTCCCGTTACCAGATTCAGCGTCTCCGATGATGTGATTGTCATCTTGGGCTTCATGAAGAAAATCCAGGAACCAATGGTTTCCATGAGTCTGGTGCCACCCTGGAAAAAGAGAAGAAAGATATAAGAGAAAACTCCGATAAGTCACTGGAAAATAATGTGTCTAAAGAGACAATCTTTGCAGGAGAAGCTGAGAGTTAAAGAGCTTGAACCTGGTCAGAGAGACACAATAAACAACCCCTAATTCTTATCAGCCTGATAACTCTCAACCAAAAGTGTTGTGACCCCTGTCTCTGAACTGCTCCTGCATTACTAAACCATGTGAGGTCAGTTTTACCTTTAATCTGTGGTCTTGTAAGACATTTATTTTCTATTTTCATTTTTCGTTAAGCAGACGGTTTAGCCCACAGCCTTAGATTTTAACATCCTGGTTCAGATCAAGTCCAGAAACCTCTCTTGTGGACGCACACTACCACCTTGTGCCGCCTCGCACGAGTTGCAAACTCTGTTACACACATTCACCTCCACACCAAAGTTTTTATGTGCAGTATACTTTTAACCACAAGATGGCAGCAGCTGATAATCCACCGCGAAGCCTGCTCTCACAGTGCAGGGAGTTAAAAATCCACAAGAGGGAGCCAAACGCCGCTGTAAAATGCTCCAGGATAAAGGTGCCAAAAAGCCATCACACTGTTTAATGTCTTTGCTTTAGAAATCTAATATGAACGTGTGGTTTCTCTGTGACAGCTCCTGCAGATCCAGAGGGACTTTGAAGATTTTACAGTACGCTCACAGCAACATCAAAGCTTTCCCCAACCCAGAGAAACCAGAGTCAGATTTGTAGACCAAGCAAGATTCACATGGTCCCAAAATAGGGCAAACATTGAAATTGAAAGTTTTTGCACCCATGCTGAATTTCTTATTGGAGAGGAATTGTCTAATAAGGCCGGCTCGGACCCCCTCTGAGCCCCGCTGTGCCTACTTTGCTTGGTATTGACACATTATCTGCAAACACTTCCCTGTTTTGCAGCATCTGATAGACTGAGGGTTTTTCCTCTAATGCAGCTTTTCCACAGAGCTCCAGGCCGCAGAGTAATTGTCCGCGCAGCACCAGGAGTCGCTCTGTCTGACTGTAATTCTATAATATCGGGGTTGGCTATGACAATAATCCCCGGGGCTCTCCGTGCGTCGCCAGGACTGTTTCACAAACTCAGATATATGTACGAGAATCAGAGAGTGCAGGAAAGACAAGACTCTCATGCATCTGCAGCTCCTGTCAACAGAAGAGACAAACAGTGCTTATTAGGATGGGAATGGTGACATGGGCAGGCAGAGAAGAAGAATCCTAAAGCGTAAAATACATGACTTTTCATCTAATTACAATTGAAATACATGCACAAAATCAGTGCCATGCAAGGCGGCCAACAAGATAAAACAGGAAAAAGTTGAAAATGAATGCACAACCATGAGAAATATATTTGATATCCTTTAGTTTTATCCAGGAAATACTTTTAGTTTTGGACCATTGTTTATATAAAATTGCATCTTTGGGAAAGGTTAACAGATTTGCATTGTCCAGTACGAGCCTATCTATGGTGGCCCTGAGACTAACTGTGCAAAAAAATTCCTGATCATTAAATAAATTTCACTGAATGCCACAAACATTAAATAAATGAATAAAACAGATTATTCTCTTGAATTATTTAAATATTTCACGAACAAAAAGAAATCGCAAACAACAAAATGAATTCTACAAATACAAAAAAAAATCACTTAAAACAAAATTATTTCATAGGACATATAATCTTTTTATAAATGCACAAACATTTCATACGGCAAAAACATTTTATGTAACAAAACTTCATAAACCACAAAAAAATAAAATAAAATAAAAAAAATTCAGGAAGTAAAAAAAAAAAAAAAGTTTATTTCCTAAAGTGACATTTCACAAAACCAGACATGTTTCAAGGAACATTTAAAAATTATTTACAAAAAAAGGAAATATTTTTTCAGATTTCTCTTTTTTTTTGCCTTTTATGAAATAGTTTTGCATTTTAAAAGATTATTATTGTGTTCAGAGAATTATTTTTAAATTTTATGATCCTTTTTTTTTTTTGCATTTTATGTGTTGGCATTTTATGTTTTTTTCTTGTGGTTATAAAATATTTCTGCAATTTTTTTTAAGTTTTAGAAACTATTTTGGTGTTGATTTTATTTTCTTCTGAGTCAAATTTCTGAATGTTTTATTTTTTTTTTGGTGTTTATTCAAAGGTTGTTTAAATTGACTCTCAGGGCCACTGTACCACAGCTACACTTGTAGTTTAATACAATTATATACTGTGTCAAACCAAAACACATGTACAACAGCTTTACTTGAATGAGGGCTTGAATTATAGAGCTCCACCTGGTGGCTGGCTGTGGTACAGCCTCCTTCTTTACAACATTGTAAAGACAAAAACCTGGTCTTTTTAAGTAACTTGAGAGATCCGGACCAGTCTGATCCCTTCTGTGCTTATAAAATGAGACAAAAATATGACAAAGTGAGCGCACAATTTCACAAAATAAACAGAATTTTTTTTATTTAATGAACTTTCATGTCATATTTGCACTTTTTAAAAAGAAAAATAAGGAATCCAGAATTAGAGAGTCATCTTTTTTTATTTTTTTTAAACCGACACTTTGAATACTTAACATACTGGAGCCTAAATCCAAACATACATGAGCAGCTCTCTCAGGAGCTTGAACTTGATCTGACACAAACATTAAAGGCTGAGAGTGTTGTACAGATTGGTTCACACCTGAATGCTCGTGTCGTATGTAATCAATAAAATCCTCATGTACATAAACAGGTAGAGCTGTCAGGCTTTCGTCCTCGATCATTACTTCTTAGGTGGAGGCCGCGCTGCAAATTTGTGCATGCAAAGAGCTATTTATTCCTGTTTCCAAGACAGTCAGGGGCATTCAGTCTGCGCACAATCTCCACCATTTACCTCCAGTCTATTTCTGTAACATATTTACCCCAATGTGACAGGCCCCGTGAATCTACCCGTGTTTGTCCGAGCGGGATCATTTACACAGGAAGCCGTTGGAAATAAACATTTGCACTTATTATATGTCGCATGCTTCTCGGAGGTAAACACACGCGCCCGCGCGGAGATGCATGTAAGAACAGCAGAAGACAGATAAGAACATGTATGCACACACAGACAGGCATTCATAGCAGGCGGTAATAACATAGTGCAGCTTTTGAGAGGCCAGCCACAGTTCTGCGGGTGGAGAGGGTACATGCAGGAGATGTTATTGCTCTATATGTTTATAACGCTGCCATGGAAAAATAAGAGCCACGGCCACAGGCATTTCCTCGGTTCCTCTCTCCTCAGTCACCTCGCCGGGCTTGTGTGGGAGGGAGGCTGTGGGCTCAGCACATGTCACACTTCATCATTTTCAGAAATAGGCATCCTAATTCCTCTCTGTCTCTCTTCGCAGGAGCTCGATCACAGACCTCCCATTCACCAACTGACTCCAGTTTACTTCCCCCAACTCAACTGTCTGTATCATCTATTGTCAGGAGGCGCACAGAGCCGACCCCTGCAGTCGTCTTACTTTCCTAAAATGTTGATTTAGCGGAGCGTTTGAGACTATGTGATGACACTGCTGCCGATCAAGAAGTTGAGGTTTATCTCACACTTGTACTGAAGTCTGATCGAATGGAGGGACAGGAAGCTCCGTTTAGGTGGTGTTGCTTGTTCACCTGCTTAGAAAGAACGGTGCAATCAAGGGTGGGATAATTGTGCCATCTGGTGCGATTGACGAGAAGAGCTGGGTATCATCAGCATAGAAGTGATACGAAAAACCACAGAGATGGATTATTGCACCGATTGAAAGAGAAAATCATGGGGACTAAGAATTGATCCTTGAGGCTCTCCAGTTGATTAGGAATGTAGTTTGGACACGTCTGCCCACCATGATACTCGAAAGAATCTTGAGAGGTTTAGGACATAAACCTGTGGAGGGCGGAGCCTAAGAATCTGGGTTCGGTTGGCATGGAAAGAAGGATTTTGTGTTTTACTCAGTAGGTTTAAAAAAGTTAGGGTCAAACACACCATAACACCGAGTTAGACACCCCGTTGAGAGATGAATGTTGCCGACCGCTTGCTTCTCTAGTTATACCAACTTTAGTAACAGCAGCAGATAGCAATACAGAGAGCCACACGCTCAACCAAAACGCCACTCTATAGCCACAAATAATGCTCAGAACAGCACCTAACTTCATCAACAGGACATATAGGGTCACAGCCATAGTACTAGACACCAAACATCTTTTTAACTTTGACTAATTTATTTAGCAAAGAGACTAAACACAACTCACCTACTCTCTTCCAGCAGCCGCTTGTTTGTACGGAGACCTTTGGGCGAGTTTATTATCATTTCTTTATCATTTCCTTAAAGTAATTATCACCATATTAATCATTTTGCACTGCAGACATGGTGGTTCTTCGGTCTTAGCGTCTCAGTCTGATTGTGTTTATATGAGGAAGTTATCATAAATGTTCCTCCTTGAGCTGCGACACCCCACTGTAGTCCGTAATGGACTTATTTGTGGCTTTTGAGTGGCGTTTTGGTTGAACACATGGCTCTCTGTATTGCTATCTGCGGTCGTTCCTAAAGTTGGTATAACTAGAGAAGCAAGCGGTCGGCAACATTGGAATATCCCTTTAAGTTAAGCTATGGTTGGAGTTCAGTTAGGCGTTTTAGTTGGTGGCGCTCCCTTTTATTACTTCTCCTCTTCGCTAGGATGACCCAATTAGTACCAAAACGAAGTTGTTAGCGAGTGGCTAACGACGGAAACACCGTTACTTTTATAGCTCAGGTGCCTGATGGTCGTTTTTTTGCGTCATTTCTTTGCCTGTCAAGGTTTTATTTGGGATCAATTAGAGGCATATGCAACATCCAGGTTTGTTGGTCCGATTACGAAGAGTTCATTTTCGTACGATTCAACGCAGTAAGTGTGGAAAACATGGGTACGAGGGAGCGGCATTGTCACTTCTGTCGACAGCCTTGAAACAGAGAACACATTTATGATGGATGATTGGGGTTCGAGGTTTTATTTCTTCGTTCCTCCATCGTGTCTCCATTAAATAAAAGCCTCAAGGACAGAGGAAGCAGAGGAAATTTTGATGTTGCGCCGACCGACTTTAAATGATAGCGTCGGCCTTTAATGTGAATGTAAATAACAGTTGGAATCACGTCACATGTAATCATTTTCACATAGAGTCAATCCTGTGCTCATCTCTGCTCTTCTGAAAGCAGCCCTGGTTGCTGTGATCCGGAGGATAATTAGGCCTGGGAGCACGGCGGTGAATGTTTGGTCTCAGTCTGCTCGCCTTTAAAGAGAATGCTCTTTTCGGGTGCAGCAGAAGCAGCGCATATATCCCTCAGAAAAAAGCCCGAACTGTAGCTGCTCGTGTCTCTGATGTGCCATCCAAGTTTAAAATACAGCTTTGCGAGCTCAGTCTTCTTCAAAGCCTTCTTTTCTTTTTCTTTCTCCGGCTCCTTTTTTTTTCTTTTTCACTCCCTTCTGCCAGCTTCGACTCGGCTCTGCCTCCTGCCTCGACATGATGAGTGGAATGGAGCGAAGAAGTCGGGTGAGAGGCTTGAAAGGAACTGCAGCTAATTCATGAAAAAAAAACACACTATCTCATAAACAAAAAAGGAGTTATAGCGGCATGCAAAGTACAGAGAAGCCACCATAAAACGCGACTTGGAGCCGCTGGTGTTTTGTGCGTTGATCACTCTTCTGTTTAGAATTCGCCGTGAGTAATCAGTGTAAAAAAAGCGCTCCTTTCATTCCCTTTGACTCTGAGGCCTAATGGCTTTTGTAGTAATGACTTTGTGTCCTTAACGGCACAAACATCATTAACCCAGCCTATTGTTATTCTAATCTCTCTCTGGAGGCAGGGCCTTCGTCTGGTTGAAACAGTTTCTTCATTGTGAGCCTGGAGGGAGGGAGAAAGGAGGTGCAAAGGAGGCCACTCGTCAACCACTGCCACCTGAGCGGGCCTGGGTACCCACAAAACCTTACATTTAGGGTGGTCCAACCTGCCATCCTTAAACCACGTCCTCCTGGCTCTGCTTTATGTGGTGCTAAATCCAACTCCAACCATCCCTTTCACACAAACAAGCCCCTCACACGATGAAGAAAGTCTCCCCGGCCCTCGTTTGTTGACTTATCTGGCACGGCAGCGGTTGGTTTTTCTAATGAAGTGTCTTAAAACACTGTTTGTGGGGCTTGTTTTCCCTCCCTGACACAAGGGAAGAGCCTCTGCCATGTCTTCTACGACTTGAGCAGGTGCAAAGACAAGGCTCAATGACATCTTTGTACCAAATGGGTGAACTTTTGGGGGGTTTGATGGCACTCCTGGGCTGGCTCTGAGCCTGCACCTCCTCCCCTCCATCTGCTTTTTTTGGGGGGAACTTGAACGTGAGAAGTTGGTGAGATGAGGGAAACCATATATCCTGACGTGACACGGACTCCAGAGGTAGTTGGGGTTGTTGGCCTCCACGGCTGCCTGTCAAGCTGCTTTTATCCCGGGCTGCCCTTGTCCTTCGCTGGCTGGAGTCATTGACGTTGGCTCAGTGTCGTCTTCCAGCTTGGTTCACAATAAGACACAATAGTGAAGGCCTGATTTTGTGGTTTTGACTTAACGGCTCATAGTTCTGAATATTCTACAGACAAAGGGTCTCCACGATAAGAGAGGATGTTATGTAGCCTTTTAAAAACTTTTTAAGGACACACTTACACGGATATTTCTTTGCTAAATAAGATGATCTGTTTCGAGGTTGATTATTTCCTCACTCTGAGTTTAAGTTTCTGTGATCAGGTTGGATCTCACATAAAAAAAAAACTTGACTGCATTTGACACTTGACCTGAGAGTGTCTGTGTTTAAAACCGTGGAATGATAGATTATTTAGATTAAACTAGAAACAACTTAATTTATCCTTACGAGAAGGTTCCCTCAAGGAAATTAAATTTAATTATTTAAAGTTACGATTAATCACAGAACTTTAGTAGTTAATCACAATTAATCGCACCTTTAATTGCATGATTGTCGTATTAGGTCCCCATTAAGAAAAAAAAAATTGTAATTACTTACGAGAATAAAGTTGTAATAAAATTGTTACTTACAAGAATAAAGTCGTAATAAAATTGTTACTTACAAGAATAAAGTTGTAATAAAATTGTTACTTACAAGAATAAAGTTGTAATAAAATTGTTACTTACAAGAATAAAGTCGTAATAAAATTGTTACTTACGAAAATAAAGTCGTAATAGCGTAATTACTTACGATAATAAAGTCTAAGCTAATAGCTAATATTCTAACCTGTAGTTAGTTGTTTAAATGAGCGCTGTGGAGAATTTAGATGAATTGAACTTCAGTATCTCGGTTTCACAAACAAGAAGAAACTAAATTCTTTGGTGTTTCAGCGTCACGTTATCATAAGAATCAGGACATATGCAAGACATGCATCTTTTCTGCATAAAGAACCAGGTGGACTTGGAGGGAATCGTTGTTTATAAGGAGGAGGAAATGTCTGTGCAGAGGCGAAATTCCTCAATGCAGCTGTTGATAGCAATAGCATATGGCTTTAGTTTATCGTATGAATCTATAAGGTGTTGGTGCCTCTGCAGGTGGAGGTTGCTGCCAGTGTTGTGCCGGGATCAGAGACAGACCTGGTGCTTGTTGGAGCTCCACTCCCTGGAGCTCTCTGAATGACCCGCTGATGAACCCACAGATAACTCTGCAGTTGACCAGTTCAGACATTTCCTCCTCCACAAAATGACTTTAATCTCGAAGTCTTAATTTTTTTTTCTCTTAATGTGGCCCAAATACTCTGTCGTAGAAATTCAACTATTTTGCATTTGTAATAATTTTAAAGTCCGTTCTGACAATACAATGCTATCTGTGGCAGGAATCTAATAAATGCAGTCAAGCGTTCTTCGTGATCTTGACATATGGCTTCACAGTGCTCAGTTTCAAGTGTTTCTATTATTATTTCTTTGAAGGTTAACACTGTCACACATTGGCAGATTTTAAAAAGAGTATATGCACAAAATAATTCAGTTGGTGTCATGATTGTGTAAAGCTCCGGTTGCTTGTGTGCCCTGCTTGTAGGTGGTCTTACCTTTATTAAGTGCTAAAAGCAGCTGATACTGACCTATAGGAGGAGCCCTTTGAGTTAGAAGGAGGGGGAAATCTGCAGGATGGTTATTGCTCACACAAATCTAACATTGTTTACTCTCTCAGTAGAATTACAGTTTTGTTTCAGGTTTTGCCAGGATAAGTTTGGCATACAAGTCTGCATGCAAGTCCTCACCAGAACCCCAGATTCTGCCTGTATCAGGGGAATGGACAGCTGATTGGATGATCAACACTCACAACTGCGTGGAAAAAGCTAAATTTGTACGGCTCATGGGCGTGTAATGAAAACAGATATAATGATAGAGATGAGCGCTCAGTTAAAGTTTATGCTCGAGGCTTTGTTGTAGTTCTGTTCATTCTTAATTCTGCACAATGCATGGCAGTCCCTCTTCCAGTGCCATCTCCTGACATGGTTGCACATCTGTAATGCATGGTGATTATTTCTGAGCCTAATGATGAGCCACGATAAGCCACCCTCTCTGACTCCCAAAACATGGCGAGTATGAGGTTTTATTATTTCTGGATCCGGTCCCACGGCCTGAGCCCCTGCAGCCCACTCTGGATTTCATGGGGCTCTGAGGCGGTGACCCCGGGAACAATGTGGGGTGCTGTGCTGATTCTGGGGACCAGGCGAGCCTAACTTCCCCCACCTGCTAGCAGCTTTACCAGCCTGGCCAGGGGCCCTGTAGCCTTTTTTTTAACACTGTGAAACAACAATGAATCAATGCAACTGATTTTATTTATATATCAAGATGTTAAAAGTGCATTTTGATTTCAAATTGATGTTTTTCTTACATCACAGAAAAATGAAAAGAGTCGAGTTCAGTCAGCGAGCAGTAGGGAGATCAAAAATTAATCAGCAAAAAGGAAAATATCATCAATCCTAAAGGGATATTCAGGTGTAAAATTAATTAAGTGTCAAACACACCGTAACATAGACACCCTCCTGGAGATATGAATGTTACCGACCGCTTCCTTCTCTAGTTATACCAACTTTAGTAATGACCGCACGATAGCAATACACAGCGGTCTACGTCTCTACGTGCAAACCTCAACCAAAAGAACAGTTACACACACAGCATGAATTTCCCACCTTCTTGTAAGAATATGTACTCAGTTTTACAAGAGATCTCATGGGATATGAGCAGAGAGAACGTGGATAAATAATGTGGCACAGAAACTTAACAATAGCAGGGTTAAAAGGATTCCTCCAATGATTTGGTTAGAAAAACTGATCCAGTTCACCGGGACGTGTCGAGGCTTTTGACCTAGACGGCACACCTTCAGCGCTGACACGGACAGAGGTGGCCAGGGCACCTGTGCATACATAGATACTGATTATTTAACCACTCTGTCTTCAATGTTTGTTAGAACAACTATCATTAAAGTGTAAAAATTGATGTGTAAGAATTCGGTTTAATGTTTTTTTGATAATTGCGCACAAGAACATGGACTTACTTTGTGCAATCTCAAATATATTCTTACTGTTCCTTCTCTTTTTTGAGGCAGCAGAAGCACAAATGAGTGACAACAATTAGAAGGCACGTACAAACTGAGGCCAAAACTCCTGCCGCGGTTAGACGATCTCTGACCTGCGAAGGAAACATTTCATTTAAAGAGCAGCGGTTAAAAAAAAACAGTTCTCCTCATTCATTCTCTATCAGTTTGTTTATCAGGGTGATTTAGATCAAAGTAGACGGTTTTTAGCTCCAGCTTTCAGACTGTGCATCAACAAAAAAAACTAACAAAAAAAAACCACTGTGTTGTTCACGATTATCGAAGGAAATATAGCCAGAGAATACCGACCTGTCTTGACTCCTTCTTGCCGTATCGTAGTTCTGTAGCAAAGTGCTCACAGTTTGAGTCGATTAAAGAGTATCGACGCTCTTCACCGACCATACCACGGGCCTCCTTGACAATGGCTTCAGATTTGCAGCGCTTGTACTTGTCATCCAATTGGTTGTTGACCTTGAAATCACTGTCGCCAATCACATCCCAGATATTTTCACGCTTCACCTCTCCCGTGCCGTCCACCCGGGATTTTGCACGAGCCTTTTTACCACCTGATATGTGTGTGATTAATAAAAAAAGACAGATGTAAAGAAAGTTAGTTAAAGAAAAGAAAAGAAGATGACAAGAAAAGTTCAGGTAAAGTCAAGACTAACACTGATCAAGTCCATGTCTGTACTGTCATTTTACATTTATATTACTCACATGTTACAGGCTGATCAAGTCAAAGTAAAGGTCATGTCTCCAAAAGTCAGCTTATATGAGAGATAGACAAAGGTCGCGATTTTAAGACAATTTAGCAAAATGTTGCACTAAACTCACCGTCAGGATCGTCACGAGTCAAGTGGACAATCTCATTGTTACCAATATAGACCACCCAGTGCTGATATCCATCTCGGAAAATCTCAATCAGGTCTCCAGGCTTTGCACCATGTTTACGCTTCTACGACAGAAACAATGGTTGAACTACAGTTTATGAAATGATCCTGGTTTTAGAGTCTATGTCTGCAGACTAGAGGCAGCCACTGTCTTATTCCTTCACACATTAAAAAAATAAAACATTTTAAGTGATACAGATGTGTTTGGATGAAACCAAATAAATGTTGGATGCTGGGATTATAATTAGGGCTGAAACAATTCCTTGAGTAACTCGACAAAAAACATTAGAGGATGTTTCTCTGCCTCGAGTACTCGTTTATATATAATAGTATTCCTGTAAGTGAGCACAGACAACTACACACTGACTCAAAAAGACGCAGCAGACATCTGCTCTCTCTCTTCTGTATAAATGGTAGAGCAATATTTCTACCGATAGACACTCTTATACCATCACATGGTATATCCTGTCATACCGCCCAACACTAATTTGAAAAACGTCTAACATTTGTATACAAAGAGTCTATTTACACCTATGATCAAGTGTTGGTATTAAGGCTGCTCCTCAGTTACAGACTGTTGTTTGACACTTAAAGTCACAGAAAGCTAACTTCCTGTTTAGAGAACAGGATACAAAACCACCCGCATCACTATAAATAAAACACGTACAATAGATTTATAGAAGTGCACACAATATTTGTTGATGAATTAAACTAAACGTTTCTAACATTTTAAAGATACTAAACTTCAAATCAACCACATATTGTCAGTGAGAGTAGATCCAGGAGCAGGAAACTCACCCTTCTCGGAGCCATGTCGTCAGTTGCTTCTCTCAACAGTGATGTGGTGTATTATAGGAGTCCTAGAGTTTCAAATATCCAGAGACAAATGAGTTAGTTTGCAGAAAGTCCATGAGTACTATTGTTTTCCTTTCAGTTATACTCACAAATATCCTCTTGACGTGGATTAACTCCTCCTCAAATTGAAGCCTTTGTGGCTGAGATACAAACAACTTTCTGTTTCAAGCCCCCCCCCCCCCCCCCCCTTTTTCTTTTTTCTTTTTTTACAATAGTACAATGTTTTATTCTTCTTCAGGTCTCGTCATGAAAAAGGCATGACATCAAACTGAAACTAAGCCAGAAAATGCTCTCTATGATAGCCAGAGTCATTTCAGGCCAGAGGATGTGTCCTCATTCCTCATCAGCACTTGTCTTTTTTTAAAGGATGTGAAAACTAGAAAACTTTTGTGAACCAAAGATGATTTTTTTGTGGCTGATTCAGATAGTTTTAGTTCATGTTTAGGAAAGAAAAAGAGCACATATTGATTGAAATTTTTATGGATAAATGTCTCTTAGCTTGATGAAGGATTTCTCTGCCATCCAAAACACACCAACAATGTGTGAATGCCCTTCAGTTTGACACCTTAACCTCATATATTTGAGCTTTTTTGGTCTCTTAAGGGCAGGTTTATGTTATGATGCTGCTGAAATATAGTGGTATCACTGGTAAACATCTTTGTTGAATTACAAAAGCAGTTAAGAAATCACAAAATTATCATTAAAAATCATTGTAGTTTATATATTTAACATGACATGACTCTGTAGTGGAAATCACAGCACAGGTTCAAAAACAACTCCATAAACCACCATGCTTTTATTTATGAAGACATGTTAAATTTGTGTCTTACATTTGTTTGAAAGCAGCAGTTACAGCTTATATATTCATGCACAGAGAAGTCAAAGAACTGAAGCTGAAAAGAGAGTTGTTGTTTTTTTGCTGAGCAGACCTGCTTGTTACATCAGAGGCATCCAGATATGGAGGAGGGGCCTCAGAAGCAGTCTATAATATCATATAAAATAACTAATTTAACTTCTTTCGAAAAATGTCCTCACTCTTCAGGGTTGAAGTTGCAAGTCCTCTAAAAATATAAAAACAAGGGTGTCGAGAATTTTGGCCAAGCTGACACAGCTCCAGCACTGACACGGGCAGATGTGGTCAGGTCACCTGTGCACACATAGATACTGATTATTTAACCACTCTGTCTTCAATGTTTGTTTTAACAACTATCATTAAAGTGTAAAAATCGATGTGTAAAAATTCGGTTTAATGCTTTTTTTGATAAATGCTCATAACATGGACTTACTTCATGCAATCCCACTGTTACTTCTCTTTTGTGGGGTGCCCACAAAAGCATCACGGATTTTACGAAATGGGGTCAAAACTGCATCTTTGAGCTGTGAAGGAAACATTTCATTTAAAGAAAAGTGGTTAATAAAAACAGTTCTACTCAATCATAGTCAATCAGTTTCTTTATCAGGGTGATTACGATCAAAGTGGACAGTTTGTAGCTCCAGCTTTCAGACTGTTCATCAACATGGATCTGAAGTGACCACTGACAGACTCTGCTTGTGTTTCACTTCATAACTTACACCATCGCTCCCTCTTATCCTCAGTGTGGGATAAGTAAGTTAAATCAAAAGTAAAGAAACAACAACAAAGAGAACAAAAACACTGTTTTGTTTAAGATAATCAAAGGAAATATCAGAATACTGACCTGGATTGACTCAGCCTCGCGGTATCGTAGATAAGTAGCAAAGTGCTCACAGTTAAAGGCGATTAAAGAGTATGGAAGCTTTTCACCAGCCAAATGACGGGCCACCTTGACAATGGTTTCAGGTTCGCGGCTCTTGTACTTGTCATCCAATTGGTTGTTGACCTTGAATTTACTTCTGCCAATCACATCCCAGATATTTTCACACTTCACTTCTGCCGTGCCGTTTAACCGGGAGTTTGTACGAGCCAACGAACCACCTGATATGTGTGTGATTAATAAAAAAAGACAGGTATAAAGGAAGTTTGATAAAACAATAGAAAAGAAAAGAACACGACAAGAAAAGTTCAGGTAAAGTCAAGACTAACATTGATCAAGTCCATGTCTGAACTATCATTTTACATTTATATTACTCACATGTTACAGGCTTATCAAGTCAAAGTAAAGGTCATGTCTCCAAAAGTCAGCTTATATGAGAGACAGACAAAAGTCGCAGAGAAAGTTTAAGATGGTTCAGCAAAATATTAAATTTAACTCACCGTCAGGATCGTCACGGGTCAAGTGGACAATCTCATCGCCTCCAACGTAGACACCCCAGTGCTGATATCCATCTCGGAAAATCTCAATCAGGTCTCCAGGCTTTGCACCATGTTTACGCTTCTACGACAGAAACAATGGTTGAACTACAGTTTATGAAATGATCCTGGTTTTAGAGTCTATGTCTGCAGACTAGAGGCAGCCACATCACGATAAATAAAACACTGATAATGTTTTGTAGAAGCACACACAATGTTTGTTGATGAATTAAACTAAAAGTTTCCAACATTTTAAAGACACTGAACTTGGAGCAGCTTCAAATTAACCACATATTGTCAGTGAGAGTAGATCCAGGAGCAGGAAACTCACCTTTTTCCCGGTTTTTGAGAAGCACAGATATACGACAGCAGCTGCAAAGACTGTACAAACAATTCCACATAAGACCTGCGAAGGAAACATTTCATTTAAAGAGCAGTAGTTAAAAAAAACATTTCTCCTCATATATTCTTCAAATCAAACATATACTATCAGTGAGAGTAGATCCAGGAGCAGGAAACTCACCATTAAAGGATCCATGTCGTCAGTTCTTCCTCTCAACAGCGATGTGGTGTATTATAGGAGTCCTAGAGTTTCAAATATCCAGAGACAAATTGGTTAGTTTGTAGAAAGTCCATGAGTACTATTGTTTTCCTTTAAGTTATACTCACAAATATCCTCCTGACACGAACACACTCCTCCTCAGGTTGAGGCCTTTGTGGCTGAGATACAAACAAGTTTCTGTTTCAAGCCACCTACATTGGTTTCGTTTTTCTTTACAACATTCTATTAATGTTTAGTCTGATCATGATAAGGGCATGACATAAACAGAGGAGGGTTCCGAAGTTCTCCAGCTGTCATTCTTGTCACTCGCACTGAAATACACTCTGCCACAATCAATCAGTCACCAATTCATACAAAAAAAGACTCTTGCAGTCTGATACTGGTGAGGACTATTGTTGACTGAAGACATTCTTGACACTTTCACCTTAACTTTGTAACATACATGTCAAACTCTAAATCAGGTTCTTAATCTATGAAAATCATAAACAATAACGAATAACGAATTCTAAAAATGTCCTCACTCTTTAGGGTTGAAGTCACAAGTCCTCTCAATGATATCAAAACAAGAACAGTTACACACACAGCATGAATTTCCCGCCTTTTTGTAAGAATATGCGCTCAGTTGTTAAAAGAGATCACATGGCATACGAGCAGAGAGAACGTGGATAAAATAATGTAGCACAGGAACTTAACAACAGCAGGGTTGAAACAATTCTTCCAATGACTTGGATAGAAAAAACTGACCCAGTTTGCCGGGACGTGACGAGACTTTTGACCTAGATGGCACACCTTCAGTGCTGACACGGGAAGAGGTGGCCAGGTCACCTGTGCACACACAGATACTGATTATTTAACCACTCTGTCTTCACTGTTTGTTTTAACAACTATCATTTAAGTGTAAAAATCAATGTGTAAAAATTCCGTTTAATGTTTTTTTTTGATAAATGCTCATAACATGGACTTACTTCATACATTCCCACTGTTACTTCTCTTGTCTGAGGTTCCCACACGAGCGACAACAGCATCACGGATTTTAAGAACTGGGGTCAAAACTGCATTTCTGACCTGTGAAGGAAGAATTTCATTTAAAGAGCAGAGATTAAAAAAAAAACTGTTCTCCTCATTCATTTCCTATCAGTTGTGGATGGTTTTTAGCTTTCACAGTTATAAGTTTAAGTCATACTCACGAATTTACTCCTGACTTGAACACACTCCTCCTCAGATTGAAGCCTGTGTGGCTGAAATACAAACAAGTTTCTGCTGTAATGCCCCCACACCCTATTTTTTCCTTTTTTAACGTTCAATTTATGTTCAGTCTCATCATGATAAGGGCATGACATAAACAGAGGAAGGTCCTGAAATTCCCCACAGCCAATCTTACAGGACGTCAAACAGGAAGGAGGAAGTGGCCTCATTCCTCATCAGCACTTGTCTTTTTTTAAAGGATGTGAAAACTAGAAAACTTTTGTGAACCAAAGATGTTTCTTTTTTGGCTGATTCAGATAGCTTTAGTTCATGTTTTGGAGAGAAAAAGAGCACATGTTGGTGTTGAGATTGTAACTTTGATGGATAAATGCCTCTTAACTTGATGAAGGATTTCTCTGTCATCCAAAATACACCAACAATGTGTGAATGCCCTTCAGTTTGACACCTTAACCTCATATATTTGACCTGTTTTGGTTTCTTAAGGGCAGGTTAATGTTATGATGCTGCTGAAATATAGCGGTATCACTGGTAAACATCTTTGTTAAATTACAAAAGCAGTTAAGAGATCACAAATTTATCATCAAAAAGGAAAACATCATCACTTGCTGTCTTGTAAAACAGTAATAAAAGAAATCATTGCAGTTTATATATTTAACATGACATGACTCTGTGGTGGAAATCACAGCAGAGGTTCAAAAACAACTCCATAAACCACCATGCTTTTATTTATGATCACATGTTAAATTTTTGTCTTACATTTGTTTGAAAACAGCAGTTACAGCTTATATATTCATGCACAGATAAGTCAAAGAACTGAAGCTGAAAAGAGAGCAGTTTTCTTTGTTTGCTGAGCAGACCTGCTTGTTACATCAGAGGCATCCGTATATGGAGGAGGGGCCTCAGAAGCAGTCTATAATATCATATAAAATAACTTAACTACTTTCTAAAAATGTCCTCACTCTTCAGGGTTGAAGTCACAATTATATAAAAACTAGAACTCTTACACACACAGCATGAATTTCCCACCTACTTGTAAGAATATGCGCTCAGTTTTTACAAGAGATCACATGGCATACAAGCAGAGAGAAGGTGGATAAAATAATGTAGCACAGGAACTTAACAACAGCAGAGTTGAAACAGTTCTTCCAATGATTTGGTAAGAAAAACTAATCCAGTTTGCCGGGACGTGTCAAGGCTTTTGACTGAGATGACACAGCTCCAGTGCTGACGGTGGATGAGGAAGCCGTGGCATCTGTGCACACATAGATACTGATTATTTAACCACTCTGTCTTCACTGTTTGTCTTAACAACTATCATTAAAGTGTAAAAATCAATGTTTAATAATTTGGTTTAATGTTTTTTTGATAAATGTGCATAAGAACATGGACTTACTTGATTCTAGTGAGTTTCTCACAGAAGCATCTATAGGGCCTGAGGCCACAGCTACTCTGTATTTGGAGGTATGACCTGCGAACATTTAAAGAGCAGTGGTTAAATAAAAACAGTTCTCTTCATTTATTCTCTATCAGTTTGTTTATCAGGGTGATTTGGTTCAAAGTGGACGGTTTTTAGCTCCAGCTTTCAGACTGTTCATCAACATGGATCTGAAGTGACCACTGACAGACTCTGCTTGTGTTTCACTTCATAACTTACACCATCGCTCCCTCTTATCCTCAGTGTGAGAATGTCTGGTATAAGTAAGTTGAATCAAGAGGCTCAGAAGAAACAGACATGACTCTGTACTTGAAATCACTGCATAGGCTTAAGAACTTTCATTATACATTAAGACAACGCTAAATCATATTCTCCAGGTATTAAAACAGCACAGCTCGGTAGGAAAAGTCTTGGAAGTAAAATAAAATAAGCAAAAACAACAACAAAGAGAACAAAAACACTGTGTTGTTCAAGATAATCAAAGGAAAAATAGCCAGGGAATACTGACCTGTCTTGACACAGCCACGCCGTATCGTAGTTTTGTGGCAAAGTGCTCACAGTTAAAGCCGGTTAAAGAGTATCGGAACACTTTACCAACCATATCAAGGGCATTCCTGACAATGGTTTCAGGTTTGCGGCTCTCGTACTCGTCATCCAATTGGTTGTTGACCTCGAAATCACTGTTGCCAATCACATCCCAGAAACTTTCACATAACACCTTTGCCTTGCCATCCATCAAGGCTTTTTTACGAGCCATCTTATCGTCTCCTATATTTGTGTGATTGATAAAGTTAGACAGGTATAAAGGAAGTTAGATAAAAGAAAAGAAAAGAAGACAACAAGAAAAGTTCAGGTAAAGTCAAGACTAACATTGATCAAGTCCATGTCTGTACTGTCATTTAACATTTATATTACTCACATGTTACAGGCTTATCAAGTCAAAGTAAAGGTCATGTCTCCAAAAGTCAGCTTATATGAGAGACAGACAAAGGTCGCAGAGAAAGTTTAAGATGGTTCAGCAAAATAAAGCGCTTAACTCACCGTCAGGATCCTCACAAATCATGTGGACAATCACATTGTTACCAATGTAGACACCCCAGTGCTGATACCCCACTCGGAAAATCTCAATCAGGTCTCCAGGCTCTGCATCATGTTTACACTTCGATGACAGAAACAATGGTTGAACTACAGTTTATGAAATGATCCTGGTTTTAGAGTCTATGTCTGCAGACTAGAGGCAGCCACTGTCTTATTCCTTCACACATTAAAAAAATAAAACATTTTAAGTGATAAAGATGTGTTTGGATGACACCAAATAAATGTTGCATCATGGGATTTATTCTTGGGCTCATACAGTATGTTAATGAAGCACACTGTATGAGCTCAAGTATAATGGTACGTTCCAGTTGTACTTGAAAGTCAGGATTTCTGAGCTCAGAGTCAGAAATTCATCTGGAAAGTCAGATAATCCTCACCGACTCTGACTTGACAACAAAGTCATAATCCAAGATCACAGCGCAGTGCATCAAGAGTAAAGAGTAACAGTGAAAGCTTTTGTAATGTATTATTTATTATCATGGGCTGAGTGATCACAGACAACATCTCAGTACTACTAAGTAGCAGCGCACGCCGCCGTAATAACCCCCGTGAAAACTGTTGTTTAGGACTGTGCAAAACATGCTTACTTGTGCTTCCTACCTACTCAGCTACTATAATAACAGTTGTTTTTGTCTACATGTAACATTTTTGTTCTCATTCATGAAACGCTTAAATCGGGACATTTCCCAGGACAGGTTTAGCTGGGGACAGGTCACCCAATATGGGGACTGTCTAAAAGTTTCTAATATTTTAAAGACACTGAACTTGGAGCAGCTTTAAAACAACCACATATTGTCAGTGAGAGTAGATCCAGGAGCAGGAAACTCACCCCTCTTGAAGCTGTGTCTTGAGAACTTCTAATCCAGTGCATTGTGGTGTTTTATAAGAGTTCTAGAGTTTCAAATATCCAGAGACAAATGGGTTAGTTTGTAGAAAGTCCATGAGTACTATTGTTTTCCTTTAAGTTATACTCACAAATATCCTCTTGACTTGAATACACTCCTCCTCAGATTAAAGCCTTTCTGGCTGAGATATGAACAAGTTTCTGTTTTAAGCCACCTCCCCCTCTTCTTTTTTAGCGTTTTATTATTGTTCAGTCTCCTTAAAATAAGGGCATGACATAAACAGAGGAAGGACCTGAAATTCCCCACAGCCAATCTTACAGGACGTCAAACTGAAACTGAAAGTGATCTCCATGGTAGCCAGAGTCAATTCAGGCCAGAGGAAGTGGCCTCATTCCTCATCAGCACTTGTCTTTTTTTAAAGGATGTGAAAACTAGAAAACTTTTGTGAACCAAAGATGGGTTTTGTGGCTGATTCAGATAGTTTTAGTTCATGTTTTGGAGAGAAAAGGAGCACATGTTGGTGTTGAGATTGTAACTTTGATGGATAAATGCCTCTTAGCTTGATGAAGGATTTCTCTGTCATTCAAAATACACCAACAATGTGTGAATGCCCTTCAGTTTGACACCTTAACCTCATATATTTGAGCTTTTTTGGTCTCTTAAGGGCAGGTTTATGTTATGATGCTGCTGAAATATAGTTCAAAAACAACTCCATAAACCACCATGCTTTTATTTATGATGACATGTTAAATTTGTGTCTTACATTTGTTTGAAAACAGCAGTTACAGCTTATATATTCATGCACAGAGAAGTCAAAGAACTGAAGCTGAAAAGAGAGTTGTTTTTTTGCTGAGCAGACCTGCTTGTTACATCAGAGGCATCCAAATATGGAGGAGGGGCCTCAGAAGCAGTCTATGATATCATATAAAATAACTAATTTAACTACTTTCTAAAAATGTCTTCAGTCTTCAGGGTTGAAGTTGCAAGTCCTTTCAAATATACAAGAACAAGGACAGTTACACACACAGCATGAATTTCCCACCTTCTTGTAAGAATATGCGCTCAGTTTTTACAAGAGATCACATGGCATAAGAGCAGAGAGAAGGTGGATAAAATAATCTAGCACAGGAACTTAACAACAGCAGAGTTTAAATGATTTCCTCCAAGACTTGATTAGAAAAACTAATCCAGTTTGTCGAGACAGCGGATGAGGAAGCCGTGGCATCTGTAGACACATAGATACTGATTATTTAACCACTCTGTCTTCACTGTTTGTCTTAACAACTATCATTAAAGTGTAAAAAGAAAGAATTCCGTTTAATGTTATTTTTTTGATAAATGTGCATAAGAACATGGACTTACTTCATTCTTGTGAGTTTCTCACAGAAGCATCTATAGGGCCTGAGGCCACAGCTACTCTGTATTTGGAGATAAGACCTGTGAACATTTAAAGAGCAGTGGTTAAATAAAAACAGTTCTCTTCATTTATTCTCTATCAGTTTGTTTATCAGGGTGATTTGGTTCAAAGTGGACGGTTTTTAGCTCCAGCTTTCAGACTGTTCATCAACATGGATCTGAAGTGACCACTGACAGACTCTGCTCTCCAGATTAGGGATGGGTGATATGGTCTAAAAAATTTAGCCCAAAAGATTTGCCATTCTGCCGATAATGATTAAAGTCCTGATTAAAAATATCATAATTCCAGTCTATATTATTGACTCATTTAGTCTTGAGAACACCTGTTGAAATAGTCAAATAAGATACTTCACCACAAGTTTGAGGTGTAGATTATGGAGAAAACTAATGACATCAAACAAGTCTCAAATGTGAAAACATTTTCAACATTTGTTGAAAACTCTGATTGCACAGAGTGAACAGCAGCAGATCCACTGTCTGATGTCAGGCATACCTGATTGCGCTCATCTAAACCCCAATCTTGAAGGAAATCCCTCATGTGGATCCTCGTTCAGTAACAAGCTGCTCAGAAACATCTTCTCCACCACCTTCGGCCATGTTTGTTTGTTATTCTGATCTGTGTGGACTACGGCTGCAAATCGCTCACGCTTAGGTCATCAACTTGGATTTATCGTATTTATCGTGAGATGGCAAATATTTATCATGGAGGATTTTTCTGATGATTAAGCGTGAACAATAATTTAACGCCCATCCCTACTCCAGGTATTAAAACAGCACAGCTCAGTAGGAAAAGTCTTGGAGGTAAACTAAATAAGCAAAAACAACAACAAAGAGAACAAAAACACTGTTTTTCAAGATAATTGAAAGGAAAATAGCAGGAGAATACTGAGTTCCTTACTGTCTTGGCCAGAGACAAAAGAGCAGCTGCTAGGTCAGCTGCGTTTTGCGCAGCTTGATCCACCTACGAAGGAAACATTTCATTTAAAGAGCAGTGGTTTAAAAAATAAAAACAGTTCGCCTCATTCATTCTCTATCAGTTTGTCTATCGGGGTGATTTGGATCACAGTGGACGGTTTTTAGCTCCAGCTTTCAGACTGTTCATCAACATGGATCTGAAGTGACCACTGACAGACTCTGCTTGTGTTTCACTTCATAACTTACACCATCGCTCCCTCTTATCCTCAGTGTGAGAATGTCTGGTATAAGTAAGTTGAATCAAGAGGCTCAGAAGAAACAGACATGACTCTGTACTCGAAATCACTGCATAGGATTAAGAACAAGATTAAGACTTGAAAAGTCTTGAAGGTAAACTAAAATAAGAAAAAACAACAAAGAGAACAAAAACACTGTGTTGTTCAAGATAATCAAATGAAATATAGCCAGAGAATACTGACCTGTCTTGACACAGCCACGCCGTATCGTAGATATGTAGCAAAGTGCTCACAGTTAAAGCCGGTTAAAGAGTATTGGAGCTCTTTACGAACCATATCAAGAGCCTCCTCGACAATGGTTTTAGGTGTGTGGCTCTCGTACTCGTCATCTAATTGGTTGTTGACCTTGAATTTACTTCTGCCAATCACATCCCAGATATCTTCACACTTCACCTCTCCCGGGCCGTCCATCAGGGCTATTTCACCACCATTATCATCATCTCCTATTTGTGTGTGATTAATAAAAAAAGACAGATGTAAAGGAAGTTCGATAAAAGAAAAGAAAAGAAGACGACAAGAAAAGTTCAGGTAAAGTCAAGACTAACATTGATCAAGTCCATGTCTGTACTATCATTTTACATTTATATTACTCACATGTTACAGGCTTATCAAGTCAAAGTAAAGGTCATGTCTCCAAAAGTCAGCTTATATGAGAGACAGACAAAGATCGTAGAGAAATTTTAAGATGGTAAAGCAAAATATTGCGCTTAACTCACCTTTAGGAGAAAAGTGGACAATCTTATCGTCACCAATGTAGACACCCCAGTGCTGATACGCCACTCGGAAAATCTCAATCAGGTCTCCAGGCTCTGCATCATGTTTACACTTCGATGACAGAAACAATGGTTGAACTACAGTTTATGAAATGATCCTGGTTTTAAAGTCTATGTCTGCAGACTAGAGGCAGCCACTGTCTTATTCCTTCACACATTAAAAAAATAAAACATATTTTAAGAGGTCAAGATGTAAGATGATAAATGTTGCATCATGGGATTTATTCTTGGGTTCATACAGTATGTAAATGAAGAACACTGTATGAGCCCAAGTATAATGGTACGTTCCAGTTGTACTTGAAAGTCAGGATTTCTGAGCTCAGAGTCGGAAATTCATCTGGAACTCTGGAAAGTCAGATAATCCTCACCAACCCCGACTTGACAACAAAGTCATAATCGAAGATCACAGCGCAGTGCATCAAGAGTAAAGAGTAACAGCGAAAGCTTTCTTAATGTATTATTTATTATCATGGGCTGAGTGATCACAGACAACATCTCAGTACTACTATGTAGCAGCGCACGCCCCCGTAATAACCCCCTGTGAAAACTGTTGTTTAGGACTGTGTGCAACATGCTAACTTGTGCTTCCTACCTACTCAGCTACCATAATAACTGTTGTTCTTGTCTACATGCAACATTTTTGTTCTCACTCATGAAACGCTTAAATCGGGACATTTCCCAGGACAGGTTTAGCCGAGGACAGGTCACCCAATACAGAGACTGTCCCCTGAAATCAGGGACGTCTGATCACTTTACTTTACAGTGTGCTTGATTTGTACCATGTCTAACATTTGTATACAAAGAGTTTATTTACAGCTATGATCAAGTGTTGGTATTAAGGCTGCTCCTCAGTTACAGACTGTTGTTTGATGGTTGACTCTGAAGTCACAGAAAGTCAACTTCCTGTTTGGAGAACAGGAGACAAAATCATCACTTTAAATAAAACACCTATGATGTTTTGTAGAAGTACACACAATGTTTGTTGATGAATTAAACTAAAAGTTTCTAACATTTTAAAGATACTGAACTTGGAGCAGCTTCAAATCAACAACATATTGTCAGTGAGAGTAGATCCAGGAGCAGGAAACTCACCATTCTCTGATCCATGTCGTCAGTTCTTCCTCTCAAGAGTGATGTGGTGTATTATAGGAGTCCTAGAGTTTCAAATATCCAGAGACAAATGAGATAGTCAACAGGAAGTCCATGAGTACTATTGTTTTCCTTTAAGTTATACTCATGAATTTACTCCTGACATGAACACACTACTCCTTCAGATTAAAGCCTGTGTGGCTGAGATACTAACAACTTTCTGTTTTAAGGCCCCCACATTTTATTCTCCTTCTGGTCTTGTCATGATAAGGGTTTGACATCCAACTGAAACTTAACTTGAGAGTGATCTCCATGATAGCCAGGGGCCTTTCAGTGCAGAGGATGGGGCCTCTTCCTCATCAGCACTTGTTTTTGTTTTTAAAGAATGTGAAAACTAGAAAACTTTTGTGAACCAAATCTTTGTTAGCTTGATGAAGGATTTCTCTGCCATCCAAAACACACCAACAATGTGTGAATGCCCTTCAGTTTGACACCTTAACCTCATATATTTGACCTGTTTGGGTCTCTTAAAGTCATGGTTGACGATTGGAGAGATTGGTAATAATTATGAACCTCGTTTCTATGGCGATCATGGTCCTATAGTGCGATCTCCACGAAGTGAAAATAAAAAAGAACGGAAAACATCCGTTCACCCTCACAGGTGCAGGGCTGCAAAACATTGACCAATAGGAGCTATCCGTCCCGAACAGCTCCTATTGGTGAATCTCCTGCTCCGCCTCTCCATCCAATCACCTCGCTGTTTTCCACACACCCCTCTCCTGTAGTTCCGACTCGTCCCCTTCCCACTCTCCCGGCCCTCCTCGGAGCGGTTTAAAGTAGCGTAGCAGCTTAGCTACAGGAGCTGTGATGGAGAAGGACGCAAAAAAAATCATTCTGTTTGCCCCACCGCCAATAGTGGGAAGAAAACGCAATCCGACAGAAGAAAGGGCAAAGACGAAGAGGAAATATGACCAAGCGAGGAATCTAACTGGAATAAACATCGGGTCATCCTTTGAGCGGTGGAGAAAGCTCCGCCAGGATTTGGACCTGAAAACAGACGCCGAGACAGCGGAGTTTTTGTTAAACAGGTCATTCTATTGCCTTTTATCGTGACACGTTACCCTCTGGAACTCCCTACCACCCTCCATCAGACACTGCCATGACCCCACTACTTTCAAATCCCCTTTAAAAACTCACTTATTTAAAATTGCTTTTAACTGTTTTATTCATTTTACTGTTTTCGTGTATTTGTTTTATTATCTTTGGTTTAATCTACTATGTGAAGCATCTGAGTGTTTTTAAAAGCGCTGTACAAATAAAATGAATTATTATTATTATTATTATTAAAGTATATCTATCTATCTATCTATCTATCTATCTATCTATCTATCTATCTATCTATCTATCTAAATGCCACACATCCTAAACTCGCCCAAAGCAGCTCACTAAGACACCATTAAACGCTCCAAAAACTGAAACACTATTATTTCCATAGATCCAAATGCAATGTTAGAGTTTAACTGTTTATCGTGGGTATTTATGGACTTTTAATGTTTATGAATATATGTATTATGTTTCTCCACTCTTGCCTTTTTTCTAATATGACTGACTTTGTTGTTTTAAATGGGAAGGTCTGCCAGTAAGGAGTTGCAGTCGTAAATCTGTGATATTTCGAGGAGCTGTTCTGTCAGGTTAGGTCGGATCTTTCTGATGTTCCTTCCTGGAGCTTTAATCTTCATGTTTCATCCATTATTTTGACATAAAATTAATAAAATTTTAGAGGTTAAATCTGTTACCGGCACATATTTTGTCCCCCATCTTTAGTAATCCGTCAATCAATCAATCAATCAATCAATCAATCAATCAATCAATCAATCAATCAAACTTTATTTATAAAGCGCTTTTCCTACAAGGAATGTAACGCAAATTGCTTTACAGTGAAGTTAAAAACTACCTCAGATGCCCCCACCACCACACACACACACGCGCACACACACACACACACACACACACACACACACACAATCATGCCCCACCCAACAATATCATCCAAAGCCACACACATGCCAATGCACCCACACATACATGCACTCTAAGATAGTGGACATATGGGTGTGTACAGATGAACCAGCTGAGAAGGCGCCATCAGAGGGGCCGTCAGCACCAGGAACCCCGTGGCTGACCCCTGCAACCAAAGACGGCCACTGCTCCTGGTGCCAAGGGTTCCCTCAAACACTGGGGGTCCTAAAAATGATAAAAGGATAAAAACAAGTAAAGACTAAAATATGAATAAAACACAGACCATCTTAGTGACAATAAACACAGATAAATATAAAATAAACCAAGGCTAAGTAGAATTAATGAAAATAAAAAATATATAAATAATAATTAGTCTTGAGCTTGTTATTAAAAACATGAATGTTCTCTGCGGCCCTGAGATCCTCTGGCAGGTTGTTCCAGAGGAACGAGGGCCATAATATTTTGTCTCTCTCATTTACTTCATACCTTCCTGTGCTCCTACTCTCTTTTTACCACCTTTTCTCTCATCCATCTTCTCTTAACCTCTAACCTTTCACAGTGTATAAATCTGCGTGTATGTGTGTGAGTGTGTAAGATGGTTTAAGAAGACCCTGAGGCAGAAAAGGGAGCTCTCATCACTAACAGCGACCCCCCTCCTATCCCTCCTAATCCCTCCTTGTGGGTGCAGACTGCCTCTTCTCACAGCAGTGAAATCCTCAGTGAGCTTCAACCAGCAGACCTCCACATTCCCCACCTCCTCCTCCTACAGTCGACCCCCCTCCTCTTCAGCTCTTCTCACTGTAGGCTCAAGCAGGCAGGTCATGGCCGTGTCAGATGTCGGTCTTTGATATGCAAATATTCTCCTATCTGTTATTGCATTTTGCGCCTCCTGCAGTGAAGCTGTGTTTGCAGACAGAGAAGCTCCTATAGTAGCCTATCACTGATCTACTTAGAAATGGCAAAAATACAGTTTTTTGCATGCAAGCTAGGCTACAGTTTTTAGGAGAGTTTGCCGACTCTGAAGGTCCTTACAGACCAGGAACGACACAAATACACGACGCGGATATTTCCCACAGAAAGACCCACTGATCAAACTCTGACCAGAAAAGCGTTTTCAACTATCACTATCAGATTTTCCTATCCCTCTAATTTTGAATCAGATCGAGGAATTTTGCACATGTAAAGGTGGATACTGAACAGTTTTTCAGCACTTTGCCATTGGAAGGCCTGTTTTTCTTCTATGAAATGAGGTATCAGACTTAAGTAGGACTTCGTGTAAATTAATCTGCAGGTACAGAGTGATAACAGTCACTATATACTTTATTAATGTCTGCTTTTTTGGTGTTTGGATATCAGATAAAACCCTGTGAAGATAAACCAGTTTGGACTACTTTTTTGGCGCCGGCTGAGGCCGTCCTGTACCCAGAGTCCACCACAGTCAGACCATAAATCACACAGGCTGTTTGGCAGAAGTCATGGATCATAGTACAATGGTTAATTAAAGCCCGATCAATCCCTGTGCCACCGGTTCTTTCTTTACCCTGCGTCTAACAGAGAGAGTCCCACGGTACCTTCAGCCCAGCGAGGAGGGCGAGGAGGAGGAGGAGGAGGAGGTCTGTGATGTTTGCTCAGGGCTCGAAAAGAAGCTGCCACTCATATTTGTACAGAGGACAAAGCTACGCAGGCCCTCTGGCACCATATGAAAGATGTGTTTTCACAGCGCGTACAGCAAATACAACTGTTCACTTTTTTTCCTCCCCCTTCTGTCGCCAAATTTCAGGAAAATGAGCTTCGTGCCAGTTGCCATGGTGACGGGTTGGCGCAGTGGGCAGAAGGAGAGTCGGGGGCAGCTGAGGGCAGGGTTCACCCCTGAGCTGCTTTTTTACTGTAGGAGGCAAACTGTGCATAATTACACTGAAGACGAGGGAACAAGCGGAGGCAGAGAGTTAGAAACGGAGAATAAACAAACAGGAGGTTTTCCACTTTGGGTCAATTAGACATGTAAACTTGGAAGTCATTTTCAACCTCTGCACAAAGAGCCGGGTCTCCCCGCGGAAAATGATCCTGTGTTCGTCTGGCAGGAACTCGTACTTTTTTTCTTTTTTACAAACAGTTTGAATCATAAATCGTAAAAAAAAAAATGATGCCATCTTAGCAAAAGTGAAGAGAAGGCAACTCCACACAGAAATGAACATGTAAACGCTGACCCTGAGAGACCGAGACGTCAACAAACACTTATACTCATCTAGTGAAATGTGTTAAAAAGAGGGTGGAAACTGTGATTTTTCATTTGAATACAGTGTTAGGTACAGTTCTCATTTCAGCAACTCCAAAATATGGTGTCTTCAGTGTCAGAAAACAAGATACTTATGAGAACACTGTACTTTTTAAGCAGAGGAACATCAGATCGCCTAAAACAGTAAAACACTCAACTCTCCAACTGTTTCTTGACTGAAAAAGGAGAAAACCTGGATTGGTTTCTCAAAAATCTCCACAAATATCCAAATTCGCGAAAACAAAAGCTTCTTATCTGCTCGAATCACTTCAAGCCAAGACAATTTTTCAGAAAGAAGACGTGACGAGAATCGAGAGGAGAGGAAAAGATGCCAGCGACTGAAGAGATGTCATCTCTGAAACTCAGATGATGTGCCAACAAGCTCTCTGCGGCTCTGGCCAGTGAGACTCAGAGCAGCGAGCAGCATGGGATGATGGGATGATGTGAAAAGGGCTCTTGGTTCCTTGTGCAGACTTCCTGCTTTGGGCCAATCATCCAGAGTGAACTCATAACACAGTGTACCCAGCAACCCCAGGAACTGGTCTGACCCTGAATGCAGCTTTGACCTCCCTCTGCAGGAAGCGGCTTCAGTCAATAACAGACAGCTTATATATTTTCATGCATCAACGTTTGTCTATGTGCAGACTTATGTAACTAATAAAAAACTTATTTACTAAAGATGCAGGATTTTTCTCTTGGATTAGAGAACATGCATGTGTATTTTCATAGGGTATGCAAATCCTGAGGTACCTGCGCAAAAGTAGACAAACTTCCAACAATTCTATCTATCTGACTAAAAGAAAGGAGGATCTCCCAGTGTCTCAAACCCAAAATAAAGTAAAACTTGATTAAACTGAACAAGTGGGCCGTGTTTGCTTCCAATAAACCGAGCAGAGGGGGATGAAGGAGTCTGTTTTTATATGATGATGATCCCAGAGAAGAGGAAAAACAATTAGTCTGAAAAACAAAACAAATAAAAATAATTAGTCCGAAGAACAAATAGGAAAAAAAAATTACTCTGACAAACTGAAAAAAAAAAATGTACGAAGAAAAGAAAAGAAAAGAAAAAAACTCTGAAAAAAAAAGTCTGAAGACCAGAGAAGAAAAAAAATTACTCTGAAAAACAGATTTTTTTTTTTACTCTGATAAAAAGAAAAAAATTAGTCTCAAGAAGAGAACAGAAAAAAAATACTCCTAAAAAACAGAAAAAATTACTCTGAGGAACAGAAAAGAAAAAAATTACTCTGAAAAACTGAAAAAAAAATATTTCGAAGAACAAAATAGGACAAAAAAAATTTAAAAAACAGGAAAAAAATTGTCTGAGAACAGAAAGAAAAAAATGTTACTCTGAAAAACAGAAAAAAAATTGTTGGAAAAACAGAAAAGAAAAAAAAAATACCCTGAAAAATTTTTTATACATATTTTTAAAAAAAATTTAATTTCGGAATTTTTTATAAATTACTTCTCTTATTTTGAAAACTTCATTAGCGTTAACCTGGCCCTCACACCTTCCCCGTATGTCTTTGATTCTGAGATACATGAACTGAGCTAATCTCTTCCTTGTGTGCCAAAGGGGCGGAGTTTTAGAAAAGTGGGCGCGGCCAATTGCATCATGAAGGCCTAGCCACCTACTATAAATGTATTTTCGCTGCGTTTAAGTCACCTCAGAAGTCAGATGTCGGAGCTAAAAATGACGTCACGCCCGAGTTCCCAGCATTTCAGTTACCAAGTCGGTAAAAAGCAAAGTCGGAAACAAGATGGCTACATCTATGAAAGTTATTTTAGCGCTTGCCATATATTCGGACAAGGCAAGCACTAAAATAACTTTTTTATCTGACGTGGTAACTGAAACGCTGGGAACTCAGGTGTGACGTCATTTTCAGCTCGGACTTCTGACTTCCGCGGTAACTGGAACGCAGCATAAATATGTCATTACATCAGTGGGCTTTGGTGTACCATGTTTGTTGACTCTACGAGTATTTTAAGGCCTTAAGAATACTACTTCGTTATGGATGGTGAATGCAGTGCTGCCATGGCAACAGTTTTTGCAGTGCATCTAGATCAACATCTGAAGGATGTCTTCAGGAAAAATGGTGCAGGCTTGTTTGACGGTCTTTGAGCTACAGAATATAAAATGTCAGCGTGATACTCCCTTCTGCCACCAGGGGGCGCTATAACTTGGCTAAAATATTAGACCTTGACTCCAAGTATGTGTGGAGACGAGTTTGGATCAGATTTGGAGCATGTGCGGCTGAGATAAAAACTACAAATCAAGAGTCAGAACACCAAACGGCCTTTGACTTTGATTCGGTTTTGATTAAACGCCGCCGGTTGAGACTCACGGATACAAGTTTGTGCTGGAAGAGGAAAAGTTGAGGAAACAAACTCTTCAGACTTCTCAGTGAAGTGTCAGACTCAGCAGGCAGAAGGTGGATGATGATTCACAGAGGGAGGAAGCCCACCCTCTGTGGTCTCCTCTGAGATCTCATCCATGTGACAGAAGAAACGGAGGATATTTTAACCAGCAGGAAACAGTTGAAAGGTGCCCGGCTGCCGATGACTCACTCTAAACACACCGCTTTTACTTGTCTGTGGCGCTGGAAATGATTCCCATGTGAACAGATGAAGACGAGGAAAGAGAAAAAAAAACGTGGCTTTCTCATCTTTCAAACAGCATAAGTAATAATCCTCGGCAGTTTCATATAAATAAAAAGTTCATCTTGCCACCAGAGTTTCAACCCTCAGCCAGGTCATGAAAGCTTTCACATTAGTGGTCAGAACATGAGGAGTCTGGTCGCTCTTTCTCAGGAAAAAACGAAGCTCTAAATGTCTTTAGTTTGGAGAGGAACTTAGCGTGAGAGGAGATAGCGACCAAGACTACCAAGAAAAGCAAACAGGAAAAGAGCGGCGTGCAAAGACAGCCAGGCCTCTCTGACAAAAAGAGCGCAACACGGCTTCAAGACTGTAAAACGGGTTATGTATAACAGGTTATGTAAGTTCGAGAAAGTGATACAAAAAACATCAATTTCTCCAAATGTGTAAAATCTCATTGTACGATATTCAAGTAAAGTTTTTTGAGGAATAACCAGGATGTAAAATAATAATAATAATAATAATAATAATAATAATTTTATTTATATAGCACCTTTAAAAACAGAAGTTTACAAAGTGCTTAGACAACAGTTGCAAGCACAGAACATCAGCACATGAAAATAAAAACACATAAAAAACAGGCAATACAAGAACCCTACAAAATAAATGGGACCATGAGGACCAAAATAAAAACATAAAATGAAATAGAAAAGGAGGGCAGGAAACAGGCTAGTAAGTATAAAAGAGGATATTAATAATAATAATAAAATCATAATAAAATAACAATGATGGTAATATAAATGATAAAGTGGAATTAAATATATATATATATATATATATATATATAAAATAAAATAAAATAAAATAAAGGAAAATAAAAAACATTAAAATCAATGGAGGACCAGAGAGATAAAATAAGAAAAGATTATAATTAAAACAAAGGCTAAAAAGGCAGTAAGTCTAAATAAGAAAGAGGTAAAAGAGGTAAAAGAAAAAAGGTAAAAGACGATAAAAGATGAAAGATGGCATCACATAAAAGCAAGTCTGTAAAAGTGAGTTTTTAAAATTGACTTAAAAGAAGCGACTGTCTCTGCACGCCTTATCTCCTCTGGCAGGTCGTTCCAAAGTCGAGGAGCTCTGATGGAGAAAGCTCTATCACCTTTAGTCTTGAGCCTCGACTTTGGAACGACCAGGAGGCCTTCGCCAGAGGATCTGAGGCTGCGAGTATAAGATATTAAAAGCTCTGAAATGTAGCTCGGAATAAGTCCTTTGAGCGCTTTAAAAGTAATCAATAAAATCTTAAAATCAATTCTAAAGCTGACAGGAAGCCAGTGAAGGGAGGCTAAAATTGGGGTGATGTGATGCCGTCGACTAAAACCAGTTAAAAGCCTAGCTCAATACGTGTCTTTGTTGACCCAGTTATGCGTCTAAGGTCAGTGAGAGCTATCTGAATACCTTTATCACAAACTCTGCAGAGTCTGAGCTGAAGAGTAAACATCACATATCTCAACCTCCCTCAGAAAGCGTTCCCGTTTTTGCACTGACGTCTTGCCCGGTGAGGTCAGAGTTTTATCTGGTTATTAGGTCATAAGCGGCCGAATCGCAGCCCTTCAAGTGTACATCCATCAGCAGAGGTACAGGACTGATAAAGGCCGCTCAGTTCGGGAGCCGGCACAGAGCGCGATTGTTCAGCAGACCTGTTTTCTGACACAGCAGCTCAGCGGGAAGTGTTTGACAGGACGAGCCCCCTCGCACCTTTTGTGTGAGAGCCGTCAGCTGATTTTGGCCCGGCGCTGCCCTGCTGACACATCCTGACATTGTTTGCACGAGGCCCCGCCACGGATGATTGATTACCCCTTATCTCCCCCTGGCGAATCAGAGCCTTAATTGAGCATGGTTTGGTTACAGATCCCTTTTCTGTGTCCATGAAAGGCTTGGCCGGAGCTCCAGCTTCCCCCCCTCATGATGAATGGTTGCATTCTGGGCCAGGCTGTGCTGTGGGCGGGTTTTTGTTCCACTGACTGATGGCTCGGGGTTGTTGAGCAGCTTCCAGCGCATCGTTACTGACTTGATCTGACAGCGCTGGTGACTGGCAGGGCCGGGCGGCATCCTCTGCCAGCACAGACAGCTGCAGAGAGCGGGAGGGGGGCAACTTTCAACTTAGTGCAACTTGCGAAATAAATCCCAGATGAGATTATTTCCTGCTGCAGATGTTTACAGCTATGGTAGAAGCTGCATCACGAGCGTCGCAACTCCTTACAGGTGTTCAGTCAGAAAAGGGCGAGCTTTATTTAGAAAACCAGCTCATTTGCCAAATTGATTTTCAGCCTATTGGGTTCACTTTTCCAATCCAACACAGCATTTTCCACTCAACACTGCAGCAAATTGGTTGAACATGTCGCACCAGTCACCAGGCCGTACAGTTGGAGTTAGCTTATTTGTGGGAAAAACATGTGGTTTGTGTGGAAAATGTCACCGATGAATTACTTCCAAGTTGCGAAGAAGCTCTGGAGTTAAGTAGTGGAGCTGACTCTGAAACAACTAATGGAGACTTTTGAAGAGTTCAGGAAATTAGAGGCGACAAACTGGCTCTGAGTTCAGAAAATGTCCTGAAACTTGAAAATGAGCTTTCAGGTCTGTGGTCGACCTTGAGTAAAAATAATGCTTCAATTTGCACTCAGTGGTTTGGCCTCTAAATATTATCGTTAACTTGCAGGTAACTCAGTATCTCACTTATCCAGCTAAGTTGAACCAGGATGAGCGGAAAATCTTGGCTCGAGCTTTTATGGAACAGCCCCCTGGACTCGAGAACCTCAACCACAGACTCTGTAGGCTGTATCAGGTGTCGATCATAGAAAACATGAACCCACTAATAACTTTCTAAAATGGAGGACTTGAGCACAAACAAACCAATCTGACAGTAACTAAAATTTATATTCTATGTAATAAATTTCTAAAGTTTGTCCACAGCTCCATAGAGATTGCTGGAGGAGGTCGGATTTATGACCTATACCGCAGCCCGCCACCAGAGGGTGCTGTTCTCGTGGTGGCTTCACTAGGCAAGAAGGCAGACGGCGTCTGTTCTATACACAGTCTATGACTTACCTCCAATTTCTACCGCATCTGGACGTTTCTACTGATCTGGAACGGTGGCGATTTTCGCCATCCGCCAGTTCCTACCAGATCTGTTTGAGGAGAATTTCATGGCGGGTTACAGGCAGCTGGAATAGCGAGAACTCTCAAGAACCCGCGGATTCACGTGCATCACTATAGCGAGTTGTCTCTGTAAAGACGGCCGCATAACCATATAAGCAGTAATCCACTTCTAGACTTCTAGAATCAGCATCTCCCCATCTAGTGTTTTATTTTGAAAGAAGCTGAAAGTTTTATTTTGTGTCTTTGCCCGACTTCCTTTCCAGCACGGGTTAATCTGTGCTGAATTTATCCGTTATGCTTCGGCGTCAGGAAAACATAGAACTCTTACGATCAGGTGTGGAGTCCGCTGCTGAAAAAGCCGATGGAAATTGACACATTGACTTGAATGGATTGGATCAGCTGCGATCAATTCTGGATGCGGTGGAAATTTGGGGTTAAACGCTGCAAGGGGAGTCGAGCACATACAGAATCACCTTTGCCTGTCGACTCTGAAGCAAAAAATACAACATTAATATCAGGACACCAACAGGTCAAGTCTCCAGAGACTCAGGCTTGCAGCGTAATGACATTTTGAGTTTATCTTCAAAAACAAGCCGTGAGCTCCCAAAACAAGGTGAGAGGAAAGTGTGCAGGTCTTTGTTACTCTGAAGGACACCAGCACGGCTCCTACACACTCTTTGTTTTGAAGCGTTGTCTGTCTTATCTTTCATTTCCCCTCGAAAAGCTTCTTCACACAAGCTTCGACTTATTTAACTCTGACGGTAACTAAAAATATTGAATGTGGTTTTCCAAATTAACATGATAAGTGGTTAAGGGGGGAAAAATGCCTCCACATGCTGACAGAATCATTCACATAAGATGGAATCAAAGTGGGCCTCCAAAACCAGAGCTCCTCTATGCACTTGCCCGTGGAAGTGAGAAGAGACGAAAGCCAGATTGGCCTCGTGGCCTGACCTCGTCTGAACTCCCAACATCACAGGAACTGATTCCTTTTAAAGCCTCTTTGTCGAGCAGACGCTTTCCTGAAAGAAAATCCTCCACAGCAAACACCCTCGACACGTCTTTCCATTTGTACATCTGGATGTTTAATGAGGCGGCGCAGGTTAAGATTCAGGTTAAGTGCTGAATGTATTACAGCAGCCGGCGCTCTCAGGAGACCCGTACCGACGACCTTCTGTTCATTGGCCGCTTTCTCTGCCTGCTAATGGATACAGTAGACGGACCTGAGAAGCTTTCGCCGCCTCGAAACTTCACAGATTGTAGTTTGTTTTTCCCTCAGCGTCTGAGATCTTTGTTAGGTAGGATATATTTGATTTGACTTTTAAATGAGCACCTGTTGTGAGTAAAAACATAATAAAATCCAGCTGAAATCAAACGATGGAGAGGGGAACCGCGAAGTGGCAGAGCTCTGCGGTGCTGTTAGAGTTTCCTCTTTCATGAGCGTTCAGGTGGCTCTGACAGAAAACAGACTCCACACGGAGAGCTGACATCCCTGCTGCAGCACCATGGGAAAAAAAAAAACTAATCTTTGGATATGAAAGCGTCTGTTAAACGGCGATGTTTGTAAAATACGCTCTCCGGGGCCTGATAACAAGGGAGGTGTCAGTCGGCGGTTAAACGCTCAATAAAGACCAAATGTAGATCCAGAGGCCTAGTTTTTGGTCTAATCTCACCCACCCCGAACCAGCTCTTTCCCACTGCTGCACCAAACACCTGTCTCACTGAAATCACAGCAGCTCGCTCTCAGGGCCGTTAATTCATCGTGACTACGTACAGAACAGTTGTGCATGTTAGTGTAAACATTTCGTTTGGCTGGCAGCCATACCATCCTGCCATCGGACAGCTGAGGCTGAACAGAGGCCGATCTAAAGCCGATCCCAGAGGAGAGATCTCAGGAAGGAGCTTCTATCTGAGCCTGGAGGAGAATCTCTCTCCTGGATCAGACTGACCCTCCTGTGGAGCACGCGTTTCACCTCATCGATCTGAGATGGACAACTGATTACAGAGGCAAAATGTTTGAACTCTGGCAAAAGATTGATCATTTTCTGATTTTCTAGATTTGGATGATTTTCAAAAGTGAGTTTAACACTGAAACACTGAACACGGCTACAGTATCGCAAGGTTACGGCTGGTTCAAGTCAGGCAAGATGTTGACTGAGGCAAATATTACATTTCTTAAAAGTAGAGGTCAGAGACAGGGTAAAGTACAATACTGTATAACACAACACAATATAGTACTCTTTAATTCAATACAATAAAATAAGTAAGATACAACATGATATTATAATAGAAAACTATAGGACCTGGGGTTGTGACAATAATCATATTTTCAATAATACAAAAGCCAAAAAAGGTCAAACTAAAAGCATGAATAATAATCTTAAAAGTTTGTGTCACATAAATCAGAACTTTGAACTTTTACAGAAATGGATTAGCAGGTAAGTTGGTTATTATATTGGTAAATTTATGAAGTAGCTTGTTGCTCCACCCCTGTCTCGTCTACCCTTATTTGACCTATTGTGTTATTTAAGTTTTGCATAAATATCATCATATTGTGATTTTTTTTTAATAGCAATTATAATTGTAAAGTAAGAATGTAAAGTCAAGACAATCTCATTATAACACAATACCACAAAACAGGGGGCAATTTAGTACAATATGAAACAATACGATATGATATGATAAAATATCACACAACATGATACAATAAGATACGATGTGATACAATCCAAGACAATACGATACCATAGGATCTAATACAACCAATACTTTTACAGTATGATACAATACGATGTATACAAAATGATAATATGATATGATACTTTAAAATATGATGATACAACATCATACAATAAGATACAATACAATATGATATGATACCATAGAATATAATACAAACAATAATAAAATACAAAATTATACAATATGATACAATACTTAAAAATATGATGATAAAATATCATACAACATAATACTATAAGATAAAATGTGATACAATGCAATTTAATACATGATATAATATAATGTAATACAACCAATAGTTCACTATCTGAAAAAACATAATATGTTAAAATACGACATGATAAGTTATGATAATATGATACAATGTAATATAACCAAGACTTTGCAAAACATAGCCTATTATACTTATTGTACATAGCATTGTACATAACCTTTAATATTTATATACTTTTATATTTCTTGCATGTTCTTATTAGTTTTTATTCTAGTATTTTATATTTCTCTCTGTTTATTGTTGCACCATCATGCCAAAACAAATTCCTAGTCTGTGAATCCTGTTCAGCGACAATGGCAATAAAACCCCTTTCTGATGATACACTCTGCACTTTATCATTTAATAAAACACCCCTTATTTATGAAAACTCAGTACAATCTAAACACTTTCCCACAATGCATTTGTAAGTATAAGTCAAAGCACTGTTCTTTTTTTTACCCCTGAGGGTGCAGGAACTTCTGTGAAATATCTCCAGATATAAAATGTAGGGGAACACACGCAGCAATAGAGACATATATGGCAGATCCAGTAAACTGCACCCATGTGGCACTTCATGCAAATGAAAACAGACCATGAGCTTTATATACAGCTGTCCCAGAGCAGGAGAGCGTTCAGTGCTGTTTACCCTCTTTGTCTCCATCACACAGGAAGAGAAACGAAAATTCCGCACTGTGTATGTAGTAAAGATTTAATAGTCTGTGTGAGGGTGAGGGGGGGAGTTTTCTGTGTGGCAGCGACAGCCATACATCTCCTCCTCCTGCCTCAGTCCAAACAAAGTGGTCCGGGTACAGAGCCCTGAGGAGCGTCTCCAGGAATAGCCCCGTTCTGGCACCGCTTAAGGCCTTATAAAGTCAGGTACAGAGTGAGGATGCCAGGGCCGGAGCTGAGATACTGCAGGGTTTCTTCTTTCGTCTTTACAGCCTGAGAGTGTTACTCC